AAAGTTGCCCAAGTGGTGGTCTGCAGCTGCCTGTCTTCTTTTATCTCCCTGTGTATAGGCCAGCATCTTCGGATGCTGGTGTTAGGGTTCAAGTTGTAACAGAGTGAACTTTAACTCATTGTGAAATGACATAGTGAAATGAACTGGAATGATCCCAAAATCTTATCATTTGGCTCTGATTTTGCTTGGTAGACACCATTTCCATAATGTCATAGGAAAGTTTTCAGCTCCAAGTTATTACAGTTGCCTTCTAATGGCACTCAGATCTTGCAGCTTTGTTTGATAGCATACTGGGCATCTGGGTTGTTGGTTCTGTGGTTACTTACCTCATATCCCAGAACCTGTACCAGCATGCACTGTATATGCTAGCTAAGTGGTTTAAAATGGTTCTTAGATGTACTTTGATAAGTTAAAAAAATTGTTTCCCACCATGGCCAATGCTTGTTTTGGAAGGATGAAAGAAATTTCCTAGCTGCCTTTTAAATTTTTATCACCCTTAAAAATAAGTATTTAAAATAAAGCTCTGATTTAAGCTCCCTTAACAGATAGAAAAAGAACCTGGGGCATTCTTTATAAGTATTTATATTTATACCTAGTTCTCAAATGATATATTTTATTTTCACTATCTTCTTATAAATCATCACTTAAAACCAGGTATTTAGGGATACAGAGTCTATTTTAGCCATATTAAAAAAGCAACTTGTCTGAGTTTTTATAACTTACAAAATATTGCTCATGGTATGATAAAATATTGAGGTCATATCCAATGTATGAATCAAAATGTGTTTGAGAAAATTGGGAACCAAAGTGGGATAAATTGGGAAATATGATATGATGATATAATATAATATGATTCTTAGCTTTCTTAGTCTGGATAAAATTGGAAAATGTTTTAAATGAATGATTGTTCTTCCAGAAATTTGCAAATGATACACTGTTCCATCTTAGCTAGTATTTATTAAGTGCTATGTGCCAAGTAACTATTTCAACCATTTTATCTGCAGTGACTCACTTAGTCCTTAGGACAACTTTATGAGGTATATACTGTCATTATCCTCATTTATCAGAGAGTTACAAAGCTAAAGTAGTGGGATTTTCTCTGACTCAGGCAGCTTAAACACTCCCTTTCATTGTCTGTGTCTCCTAATCTACAAATGCCTACACCTAGGAATGTTACACTGCAGATATCCACTCAAAAGCTTGTTAAGTATAAAGTCACTGATGAAATCATTTCCTTTTCTGTATTTTTTATTTGAGAGAGGATAGCTTCATGATAAGAACACAAAGCCCAGAAGCGGATTGCCTGTGCTCATCTCTCAGCCATGTGACTCTGAACATGCTACTCAACCTGGAATTATCATGATTTCTCTTATAAAAAAAGAATGATAATCATAGCACCTACCATATAGGTTGTGAGAATAAAATGAGTTAATACATAACATTTATAGCAGTACCTTATACACAGTAAACTTTAAAACACTTTCTCTTAAGTTTTTTACGTCAAAAAGTTTAACATGGTTAAAAAATACTCGACAATGATGATTTACTCTGAGTAAGGAGGGCTGGTGTTCCTTCAATATTTATATTTTATAAAGACAAAAAACTGCTGAAATACTTATTTTAATGAAATTTTTCTCCAAATGTCTGATTTATATAGTGGTGCACACAGGCTAGGATTTATTTGGCTAACAGGATCCTGAGAGCTTCAGTTTATATTGAGCTGCCAATTAATTAACTTTCAAGAAAATTTTTTTAACTGGTTGGATATGAAAATGTTCCAGTGCTTTTCAACTCCTTTATCTGCCACATCAGTTTTCTTAAACACATTGCAATAGCATTTATTGAGGTAGGTATTCTGCATGCATAATATTGAGCAATTTTAGAGACAAGGAAATATGTCCAGAATCACTTAAACAATAAGAAAGTAGTCAGCATGAAGGCACAAGTTGTCATATTACAAGATACAAACTCTATTGCCCAGGCTAATCATAATTAAAAATCATAAAAGTACAACCTGGATTGAAGTAGTGGGGAGAAAAGGCAGAAAAGCATTGTTTTAGTGACTCCTCTACCGTTAGAGGCAAATAATTCAAACTCTCTAGAACAAGATCAATAATCTAAGGACACAAACCACTTTTCTAAGTGTCTTTTCTTGCTGTCTCTTTCAGGCCTATTGTAACTATCATTTTCACTGGTATTTGAGTTTTGTATACGTGTTTCCTGAACATCTGCAAGGTACTGTGCCAGAAACTACACGGGATGGAACAAAAACGAAACAAGATGTGATTACTTGAGACTGATGATGACAGTGAACCATAAACCTCGGGGTGTCTACCCTGTGCCTGGGTGGAGGACAGTGGTTAGTCACGGTCACCATTCTAAGCAAAAGTATCCGAGGACAAATGCGATGTCTGTCAGTTCAGAGCAAGCAGAGAGCACAATCAGGTGGCAGCATTAGTGAAGTTTTTGAGGTGACTGTGCCATATAAACTGAGGTTTGCAAAAGTGGGAAGAGGACAGGATGGACAGAATAGAGTATATTTAGGAGTGGGGAGATAGTAAATTATGAAGTGCTTTCATGAAATAGTGATTAAATGTCTATTATCTGAATATAAGACTAAATTAGATTAAGGAGCCATGGTAAGAAGGTTAATTTGCTTATGAAGAAAAAAAAGTCTTAAAGTTATGTATTTTTTTAATTTTGTAGAGCTTACTGGGAATAGAGTCGAGGGTCTCACACATGTTTGGTGAGTATTCTATATCCCCTATTATGGATGTAAAGCCTTAGAGCTCTAATCTCAGAGGTCACCTCAACATAGACTTGAATTACATCAGTTTCAAGTCTATGAGCTTGAGACAATGCTGGAAAACAGGGAATCAGGAGTTGGTTTGGGCCCCCCTCCTCTGCCAATTTCAGATTTGTATGTATTTAATTTGAAGAAGTATGGAAAGGCAAGACTGGACTTTGGAAGAAGGAAAAGAGAATGTCTCAGTTTGTCGGTTATGTACACAAGCGAGTTACAATGACAGTGAGATTGTAAAGAAGGTGTGAGCAATGGAGTCATGGCAGACCTCAGGGTCATACCATTGAGCAAGCTGATAGGAAAGAGAAAGCAGATGGCGAGAGATAAAGAGAAGGCAGAAACAGTGCAAAAGCAAGAGAAAGCAGTGTTTGAAGCTAAAAAGAGAACTTCAGAAAGAAAGCAATGACACATTAAATTGTAAGCTTTTGAGAGCTTACAGTTGTTGGCATTGTTCTAAACAACCTATTTACTTCAGTACTCCCCACAACGGGTGTGGTACAGTGTTTCAGGCATTCTTTTTGCTCAGTATGTTAGGTGCTCTACAGCTAGGCAGGCACTCTACTGCTTAAGCCACTTAACCAGCCCTTTTTCTGTTGGGTATTTTCAAGATAACATCTTGTGAACTGTTTTCCTGGGCTGGCTTCCAACTGCAATCCTCCTGATCTCTGCCTCCGGAGTAACTAGGATTACAGGCGTGAGCTGCTGGTGCCTGGCTAATCATTGATTTTTATTTTTATAGTTTTAATTTTATAACCACGAGATCCCCTGGTTATTGTTCCTATATTATGAATCTCCATTTTTCTGTTTTAAAGAAAATAAGGGCCAATGATCATCATATCAAAGATTAAGACATACACAACATTGCCTCTAGGTTATGTGTTCTGTGGAATGATGAATACAAAAATGAATAGTTTTGAAACATTACAAGTTGTCACTCAGCACTGAGGGCTGAGTTAGTATTGACTGTATGTTTGAGAATGTGTGTGACGGCAGGAGATGCAGGCCACCAAAATGTCTGTCTCTAGACCAGATAAGTCCAAAGCAATGGATTCCCACAATGGTGGACAGCTATTAGGGACTCTGACTAGGTGGGCATACAGCAACTGTTTTATCTTGGAAATATAAGGACTAGTGGGAAGGAATAAGAAATAGAATAAAAGCCATAAAATAGTATCACCTTTGTATATTAAAACACTCAAAAAGACACAGATAACACATAACACAAGGACATACCCACAGCCAAAGACATTTATTGGAATAAGGGAAGAAACACAAGAATCAGGATGAAGAAGAAAATAAAATAAAACAAGGACTTTGAAAAGATCAATAATGAGGTGTGTAACTGATTCATACTTTGTACTAAACATCAAAAGAAGAAGTGCAGATGTGATAGAGGCATTTTTGCAAATCTCAAAAAAACAAATACAATAAAAGATACCGTGATCACTGACAAGTGAATGGATTTTACATTTATTATGATCACTAGCAAACAGAGGATACAGAGGGAACACCTATTATATATAGAAAAATTCATGCATATTATAAGGTCTATTAATTGGAACTTCAACTATAATTACACAAAGTGACATCGGGTGTGCTGCGACCAGCAAGAAGGGTGGGAGTATCTATCATAGTGGAACATGTTCTTTAACAAAGAAAAGATTTCCATGTGGCAGAACTCAATCAAGGACTTGGAACTATTCTCTAAGGCATCTCATGTTATATAATTTCTTCAATTATTTATTTAGGTCATGCCATTTGAATTCAGGGCTTCACACTTGATAGGCAGGTGCTCTACCACTTGAGCCATGGCCCAGCCCTTATTGTTATGTAATTATCAAGCAGGAATCCAATATTGATACTTATGTTCTGGTTTAATAGTTACATTTATTATTCCTTATCCTTCAAAATGTGTGTTCTAGCAAATTCATTTTCTATCCATCCAAATAATGAGATTGCCTTTCATTAAAGTCCAACTTGAAGATGCCAGCAAAGATATTTTCAGTACACAGTAATTGGAAGAAAATATGAATAGAAAGTTTGCTTTGACTAGAATACATTGATAACGGTTTCCTACGTAGTGACACCAATTAGATTTCTGCTTCTTCCTCACTCTTTCCAAATTGAACTTAGATGCAGCAAGTCGTGCAACACCTCTCCCCTCCTCCATAAAAAGCCCCATTAAAGGTCTGGGTAACTAATGCTTAGGACTGTGTGTCTTTGTCTTAACTGCTTTCAACACAAAATTCCATTTGCTATTCATTTGTTCTAGCCGCTCTTTTTTGAACCTGTCTTGAAAAGAACAGTGGTTATCTTCATCCTCTGTCTCAGAAATGATCTCCATCTTCTGAATGATGAGTTTAATGAGCTCATGCTGCTTTTCCAAGAGAGAAGTGAGGTCCTTCAGCCTAAAAGAACATATATATTTCATGAATTTATTTTCAATTCTTCTTTTAGCCTTTCTGAGATAGGAAGGCATAGGTTCTTGAGATGTTCTGTATCAGATTAAGTGAGCTCAGATTATAGCCTCAATTTAGTCATAAAGCTTTCAAGGAATACATGTTTTTAAAGTTTAAGTGCTATTCCTTCCCAAAGTTATACAATTGGTTTATGGCTAGTTTTTGTGTTGTTCTTTGTTCCAGGCAAGAAACTCTTTCACAGAAAGGTTAAGTAGGTTTCGCAGGATCAGTGTGTTAGTAAATAGTTGGATAGGGGTTTAAACTCAGGTGAACAAATCCTAAAGCCCCCATGCTTAGTTATAATCCACTGCATAGCTACTCCAGGGATCCTCAGTGGCCTCCAGAGCTTTTCTGTATAAATTCAGACATTACATGAAGAACACAGCTTAGAATAATGCCTCCAAAATAAGGAGATTAGCACTTAATTTTCACTCACTCAACTGATCAGTGAACAGTGGCAAAGAAGTTGTTGGGTCTAACAAAAAAGTCTCAATTCTGAGTACATTAGTTATATCAGTCAATAAAGCCCAACTTAATATAGGGAAAAAAAAGAGCAATATATAACTCTATATAATGCCTTATTACTTAAGAGTTTTAAATTTCTTAAATATAGATAGAAGGAAAAATACATACCGGTATTTCTGTTTCAATATCTCCATTTCTAAACATGTGTCAGCATTTGGTATTTCTTGTCTTGTTTCTTGGGTACCAAAAAAATAATTAAATAAACGCTGTCGGATGAAACATAATAGTTACTCAGGTTGAATTCAATTTAGGAACTATTTCCTGAATGTGTGCCAAAATTTAGCCACCAAGTGAGCTTACTAACACAAAGCCTACTCTGCATCATTATCCAACACAACTCAAGCAAATTTCACATAGAGAAATTTCTGAAATGTAGATTTAATAAATCTTGTTTAAATTTATTGTCTTTTTTTTGTGGTACTGGTACTGGGGATGGAACTCAGGGCCCTGTGCATGCCAGGTCAGAGTTTTGCCACTGACCCACATCTTCAGCTCAATTTAGTGTCCTTTAAATGTTATAGGTGGACTGGAGAGTCAACGGCAGATGTGAAAAGACAAAGAATTAGATAAATCTAAAAGTCCAGGCAAGAAAAGATGGCTACTTGCATAGACCAATCAAGAATCAAATGGACCAAATATGGGGATGGAGTGAGTTCCAAATATGGGGCTAGGGAAAGGAAGAGGAAGGGGCGATGCCAAGGATGACTATTAGGTTGCTCCTACTTATGGAACATCTATTTGCCTACAGCTTACATAGGCAAATGAATGGTGTTGACACTAATTACATGGAAGGACTATTCACTCTTGCCCTGTAGGAGGTGTGAAGGAAGAGTGAAGTTTGTGTTTGAATATGCGGAATCTGAAGTAGCTTTGAGATAGCCAAGTGGAGAAATGAAGTAGGTAGCTAGATACAGGGGCCTGGAACTCAAAGGCAAACTCCCAGCTAAAGAAATAAACCGCTAAGCATTCTGCATTAAGGTGCTGACTGCAGAATGACATGAGTGAAGTTGGATAGGGAGAGAGTATGGAGTAAGAATAAAGCTGAGACTCATACTTATATCCATGCTGTCATTTCATGACCACATAAGGGAAAAAAAATAACCTGAAAAGAACTTAGGAAGAACAATCAGAAAGATGGGGGAGCCCAGCCATGGTCAGGATTAGCACATAGAGATCTAGAGTCAGTCCCTAGCATACAGGGACCAACTCTGACTATGGTGCTTTTCTATTACATGGACATACATCTACACATAAACTTTCAGTGGCAAGTGACTAGGAAAAACAAGTGATACCTGTACTGTAAAAAGATACTGGAAGGTTTGGCTGGTCCACAGGCCTGTCGGCTCTCACAGGGGCATGGGTATATTTAACAGCCATGCTATGCATGAACCACACATGCTATGGATGAGCAAATCTCTCTCTCCTCACTGCTTGCCATTCTTACACTATGTGTCAATCATGTCCTTTTCTTTTCTTCTCTAAGTACAAGTATTTCTTTCCCACAGGCAGTTTAGAATCAAAGTCTATAAACAGGCACCATTAGGGATAATGCAATGAATGTCAAACAGTATCATGTTACTTATGTCGTTACTTGCTAAGTGTACTTACTAATATCTTCCCATGTCTTGGTCTGTTGGGATACACGATAGTGGACTTCTGATCTACTTTGCGTAAGAACCAGAGTGGCAGCTTTTTCTCTAAGCTGGTGTGAAGTTCCACCTAAAGAGCATTTTGGATTTATTAATAGAATCATTAATTAGTATCTGGAAATCTTACATTGCTCAAAGCAATTATCAGAACAGATGGGGTGGGGCAAGTAGTAAAAAATTCAGTTTAAATCAACAGGTATTTATTGTTCAAGGACTGTGGTCCAATGTGGATTGGAAAGGTAGATGAAAAAGACAGTTTGTACTCTTGGAGTGTTACAATACCACAAAATGAGCACCACTAGAAATGTAGGCAGTATGAATATATACCCAGGTAGGAGAGGAATACAAAGGTAAGCAGTTAAAAAAATATATTAAAATGAACATGTGTAAGGGTAGTTGGTGAATTTGTAACTACCATGTGGTATCATTTGCTTTCAAACTCAAGACCATGTGTTTTCACATGTGTATTTAGGTGATTTACAGACATAAATGGTCAGCTGTAAGAACTTCCAAGACCATATTACTTAAAATTGTAACCCCATGGCCCCTAAAAGACATAGTCACTCCCTGGCTTCCCTACTCTGTTTATAGAGAATACTGTATATTAATGTCAGTTTTAAGGAGAACCATGTTTTCTTGTACTTTGTTTAAAATGTCAGCTAGAAATTGTCTTTGATTTTCTATAGTAATTTACTAAGCTCTTTATTTCCTCCCCCTTGGGTCTTTATGGTAATATTCTTTTTCCATTGCCATACATTTATTTCAAAGTCCACTTTTTGTTTGTTTGTTTGTTTTTTTAGTGGTAGTAGTGTTTGAACTCAGGGCCTTGCACTTGTGTGCTGGTTAGGCAAGCACATTTGAGCCATGCCTCTGGCCCTTTTTGCTTTAGTTTAGTTTGAGGTTTTGTGCTTTTGTCCAGGCTGGCCTTGGACCTCGATCCTCCTGCCACTGCCTCCTGAGTAGCTTGAATTATAGGAGTGAGTTGCCATGCCCAGCCACCACATGTATTATTTACTTAACCAAAGTCAACTGAAAAAAATTATTCAAGCCCAGTGTTAGCCAACAGAAAAAAGACATAGTATATCTTAACCTCGTGCATTGTCTACATATGAACTGCCAGACTACACCTCTCAAATGTGGTTTTGGGGAGTTTAGCAAGCAAAGCCCAAGTCTGATGTGGAGACCTACTGAGCATGGCTCACTAGACTAGGGTAATCCCTTTACCTTCCCTCAATGTTGGGCTTTCCTCACTGAAGGGTAAGATGTGCTCTGTGGGCTTCCTTTTGTAATATTTGTAGAGTGGCCACAGCTACCAGCGTGTACTGGAAAACGTTTATAGTGATGTTAAAAAGTAACCAAACAGTTACAGGCCCCTCAAAATGCAGTATCTCTCCCTAATGCAATTCCTCTAATGAACACCTCTCCCAGCATGCACCGTCTTGGGGACCTTTTTGTCTCAGCTTGTGTTTGAGATGATTCTGAGAGAGGACTCAATGGCTCTGGGTGAAATGCACTGCTGCCTGTTCCCCTCTGGTCCTGATTGTATCGGGGGCTCAGACTTAGGTTTCAAAACAAATCTATAGAGTTGCTTAAGAAATAACTCAGGGAAAGAGAAGAACAGCTTTCTGACTTTCTAGTCAATGCTGATCTTGATCCAAAAGAAGCAGCAGATGACATAGGACTTACGCTGTTTGGTTTCAGGTCGTTAGGTAAATACAATATAGGATCCTGCTATTCAACTCAACCCTTCTGAAATGGTAGTTTAAGCAGGCTTTCCAAGACATTTTATCTACTGCTTTGGCTTATATTAGTCATTCTGTTTATTTCCCCTGATATTTTAAGGAGTTATTAGAACAGTTAATGAGGTACTACTAACATGCCAACTGGAGGTTTATATATACACACTGCTTATTCACCTACCTGAGGCCCTAAACTCCATCTTTGTTAAAGTAGTAACCCACCATTAACTCTTCTTTCCTTCAATCTTTTCCTACTAAACCATGATAACAGCAGATCACCTTTAATACCATTTTAATTTTGTAAGGGCTAATAACTCTACTAGCAAAACAACTTGAAGCACTTCATCATTTACTGCCTTTTCTTTCAAAGCTAAGGATTTTCTTTGCTGTTTTTAACTAAATTTCTCCAACATCCAGGGCAACCTCCTCACCCTGTCACAAGAACCATCCTTCCAGGCAGTACTTAGCAATTTTCCTTAGTTCTGCTTTGGCTTTTTGCTCCTATTGGGTCCCTCTGTTCTGGAACAGTCTCATTGCCTTTTTAAAGACTGCCATCTTTCAATGCAGACTTATCTCACTCCTCTACATAGCATTCCCTTCATTATTTTTGCATTTATTTCTGTACTTGAGTGATTACTCAGTTCATATGTTTTGTTTTCTAGGTGTTTCAAGCTCTCTGTATACATACAACTAAGTCACAGAACATAGGATTCAATTTTGTTACTAAGTTGATTTTTAATATTTCATTCACTGAATATTTGGTTATTATAATAAATAGGTATGTCTTACTTTAAAAGGCCATTAGATCATCCCTTTATTTTCTCTGGGTTCCCATGCTAATTTTACTGCACTTTGTGTATACCACATGCTAGAACATTGCTTTCTAAATAAATACATGCTAATGTATAGCTCAATAAATAACAGAAGTGGGTAAATTATAACAAAGAAAAGTAAAGAGAAGATGAGTAAAAAGAAAGTTATATTTTAGTACAGATTTTTCTTTTTTTGAACTACATAAGTTTCTAAATGCATATATTCAATTGGTCATCAGGTATTCTGGAAGCATCAAATCCTCCCAATTCAAATTTGAAATTTAAAGACCATGCAAATAAGAACATAGAAACAACTGTGCTATATGACAGGAAACTACTTCATAAGATCCAGTAGCCAAAGACCTATCCAGAAACTTTTGAATCCAGCACAATTTTCATCAAATTGTTTAGAAAAATGAGAGGCATGTCTGAAGAGAATCAAACTTTATGGATATAGTTAAAACTTCAATATAACACATGCTTTTGGGATCCTGTAATTCCACGCCAAAATATCAGGAACTCCTGTGAATAGCCATGTTGAGACATATTAGACAGGGTGAGGTAGGAGGATTAGGAGTTCAAAGCCAGCCTGGGCTACATAGTGAGGTCCTGCCTCAAAACAAACAAACCAACCCCCAAAATCTCACATCAGTGATGTTCTTGGTCCAGCAGCTAGTTACCTATTTGACCACATATTGACATAAAAAATGAAACTCAGGCAATTTCTCATTTCTCTGAGATTGTTATAGGACAGTTTTCATCATTCCTGATACTCTGATTATAGCAGGCATTCCAGAGAACACCCAGACACAGGATGTTACTCCTCAGAATTGAGAAAATATCCATATTAAATCACTGTGTTCTCAGAAAACCAGCTATTCCGATATGTAAGTACTTATCATAGTGTTAATTTCAGGAAGTTTTAGGTAAATATACTTACCTGCATAGCAATCCTCTTCAATGATGCATGCTTCTGGACCTCAGCAATGTCACCAACTGCCAAACCAATCTGAAGTACAACATAAAATGTAACCATGACCCACCTAAAAATGTACTAAGGCTTGTCTTACTCCATTCAAGCATCAATAATAAAACACCTTAGACTGAGTAATTTATAAATAGCATAAATTAATTTTTCATAGTTCTGGGGGCTGGGAAGCCTGAAGTGAAGATGTCAACAGGTTCAGTGGCAGAGGAGGGCCTGTTTCTCATAGATCGTCTTGTATGTTTTCTCACATGGTAGAGGGCAAAAACAGTCTTAACAAGCTCTTATATGCACATGCGTGCATACACACACACACACATAATGCATTTAGGCACAAATCCTATTCACGAGGGCTCTGCTATCATGTTCTAATCAACTGAAAACTGCACCATCTAACTCTATCACCTTAGTGTTTAGGTGTCAACATGCAGATTTGAAAGGGATATAAACATTCAAACCATAGCAAGATCTCTCTGGCCAACGTGGAGGAGAGAGCAAGTGATCTCCTAGTAGGGGCTGAGAGGTGATTTGCTACAGAAAACTGCAAAGCCTATAACCCTTTGCAACAGTGATGGCCCATTGGTGGGGCCAAGAATCTTAACCATTTTCATGACATCTTAAGACATTTAGATTAGTGTGTAATTCCTCTTATGATAAAAATATGGTACTTTTGGAGAGGACAGGGTAATGCAATATCAAAGATGACTGAGTGTACCCATGCAACATGGTAGGAAAATCTAGGAGTTTAGCAACTAAGGTAGATAAAAGTGACTTCACAACATAGAAAAGTTAAAGCATTAAACTGAGGGAATGAAAGAGTTCTTATGCTACATGTGTTCTGCAGGAAAACGTACTCTTCAGGGGTGGGTGAGATTTTGGTTGGAAACCTCTAAAACTCCAGAATGGGTAAAATAAGGTGAGGTAAGACCATCAGTTCAAGTTTACTTGATCTAATTAAATTAGTGTATTTCACTCACTTTTTCATTTATTTTTAGACACTTAGTCCCTGTCTATGCTGAGCCAGTAGTTTACATGCTCCACCAGAAAGAAGCCAGGGTTTCTCTCAGGGAGCTCAAAATTCATGAATCTCCACAAGAGAAAGGCTCTGTCAAGGTTACCACTGGATGCCCAGTGCTTACAGAGAAGGATACATAGCAAGCAAATCTATAAAATAGTCGCTGATGAGTGAACAGTGGAGGAATATAATGTAGGAGCTGCAATGCTTAGCAAATAGTTTTTATTTGGCAGAATTATAACTTTCAGGTTTTTTTTTTTTTAATTTGCAGGCTTTTAGATGGAGTTCTCGCCAAGTTACAAAAGCTCCTATCAAAATCAATCATTTCATATTTGCTGCTTCACACATTTCAGATGCTTGCCTGGACTCTGAAGGCATCTGAGCTAATGAGCCACAAAACAAATCAATTATTAACATTTCATAGTAGTTAATATTCATTGGAAACTTGTTATGTGCCAAGTACTGTTTTAAGTGCTTTTTATTATCTCACTTAATCTTCACAAACCCCTAGGATGTAGGTTTTATTGTTTCTCTCTGATGTGTGTCTTCAAAAGTGTGAAAGCACAAGGAGGCAACACCCAATTCAGACTGAATAGTTTTTATTGGCAGAATTATAACTTTCAGGTTTTTTTTTTTTAATTTGCAGGCTTTTAGATGGAGTTCTCGCCAAGTTACAAAAGCTCCTATCAAAATCAATCATTTCATATTTGCTGCTTCACACATTTCAGATGCTTGCCTGGACTCTGAAGGCATCTGAGCTAATGAGCCACAAAACAAATCAATTATTAACATTTCATAGTAGTTAATATTCATTGGAAACTTGTTATGTGCCAAGTACTGTTTTAAGTGCTTTTTATTATCTCACTTAATCTTCACAAACCCCTAGGATGTAGGTTTTATTGTTTCTCTCTGATGTGTGTCTTCAAAAGTGTGAAAGCACAAGGAGGCAACACCCAATTCAGACTGAAATAATGGGGATGGGGCATTGGTTAAGGAAGTCTACCCAGAAGACAATTTGCTTGATCTGAGCTTTGAAAGCTTAGAATGGGTTGACCGTTGTAGGAGCTTTTTCCAGGTAAAGGGAAAAGCCTGTGTAGAATCCAGAAAGCAAGAAGCAAAGCGGGCACAGTCTGGAGGACAGTGGAGAACTGAGCAAGCTCACAGGAACCCTTGTGTGTAATGCTGATGGGCTTAGACTAGAGAGTAAAGCCTTTTAAAGGGTCAGAGAAAAAGTTTAACAGAACCATTTTCAGCTTTTTAGCCATCTCTGTAGTGAAAAGGTAAAGGAGGGATAGACAGAGAAGTATAGTCAGACTGGGAAGACCCTAAAGCAATTTGGATGACATCCTGTGGGGTGTATGTCAACAGCAGTAGATGCAAGAGCCAAGCAGTTATAGAAATAACAGGGAAAGTGGATGGAGGGGATCAAGAATATCTTCCAGGGATCTGAGTAAGATGACCAGGATATGCTACTGAAAAGTAGGGGCAGAGTCTAAAGGAAAGATGGCTCCAGTCTTGGCTCTATTGAATTTTATTTTTCTCTGGGACATGTAGGTGGAGAAGTTAAATGGCTCCTTGGTGTGGGCCACTTCAGCATGGTGCCAACCTATACCACTGCAAAACCAAATTCTCCTCATATTATAATAATAATATGATTATAATAATAATAATTATCTTCCCAAGCATGAGCCATTGTAAGAGAAGAACATAGGCTTTATGCCATTCTCTTATCTCTTTTTTTTTCTAAATCACAAAAAATATCAACCCTTTGGAGCCATATCACATAAGAGGATTAAAACATAGATAGTCTCTATTATTGTTTGTTTCTCTTCAGAAACACTGCCTACACAGTCTCTGGTATAGAGTCAAGCTCAGAAAAAGTGTGAGTTGGTTACAGGTTGCATCTGAGTCCTGCAGATGCCCTCTGTATGAGGTACTCTTCCCCACTTGAATGTCTGGGTAATGAGAACTTCAAGAGTGAACACAGTACCCTCTATAAAGGTCTTTGCTGAATCACTGACCCCTTTTGAACTCCAAACAGTACACTCCTTCATCTCTGTTGTCTTATTCTGCTTCCTAGCGTCCACAGCATATACCCTCCTTACATTATGCTACATATTTATTTGCCTTTCGCCTAACTTCCTGACTAGTTTCTAATCATGTATGGAACAGGGATTAGTGTGTTCTGTTCACTGCTATTTCACAGAACAGTGCCTAGCAGGCAGTAGATTCTTTACAAGAATTTGTGAAGTGAATGTATCTTTGTACTCCTCCACTCTCTAGCCTCTTGATGTGGTTGGTACACCCCAGGCACTACATAAGTGTTGAATGAATGCATTTTGTAGTTATTCCTTCTCCAATGCTATGGTTTAGGTATTGAGTGTCCCCCCAGAGGTCCATATGTAAAGGCCTGGTTCCCAGGGTGACAGTATTGGGAGGTGCTGTGGACCTTTAAGAGGTGGGATCTTATGGGTGACCCATAGGTCATTGAGGGGCATGTCCTTGAAGGGGATTGTGGAACTCTACCCGTTGTCTTTCTCTCTCTCTCTGCTCCAGTTTGAGATGTGATTTTTTGTGCCTATGTTTTCCCACCATTATGTGCCTCTATGATGTGCTACCTTTACCAATATAGACACTATGCATTTGAACTTCCAAAACTGTGAGCTAAATGAACCTTTTCTCTTTGCAAGTTACTTACCTCAGGTAGCTAATACACCCATCCCACCACAACAGAGGGACACTAAAGAAGCTAAGAATAATTATCATTATTAAATGTCCCAAATGACCAAGAAACAGAATATATAATGATAAATTACTTACAAGTAAATTCATGAGGACAATTGGGACAAACATTGTAAAGACAATAAGTTGTGCAAAGGACAGAGTTGGATATGCTAATTGTTTTCTCAAAAATGGCTCTAGGAAGGCATCTCGATAATTGATATCTCCTAGCATCATGCTGAAGGTCTGGACTATGGAAAGTAATGGAGAGCTGAAGGCATCCTGAAGAAAAATGGAAAGGTGAAAATGAGATCCCAAATGAATATAATTAAAAGGTTACCTGGAGGGTAAAAATTATATTAAGAGCACTTTTTAAAAAGCTATAAGCATATAGTTACTGAAATGCAGTTAAGAGAAATACTAATAAATCATAGCAAAGTCATAAAAAAATCTGTGCACATATAACAGATCTTTTTACTTATATATAAACTTTTTGACAATGGAAATGGTCCTTCTGCAATAAAAATTATTTGAAAGACATATCAGATAAAAATAAAGTATTCAAATACTGTTATTAATTTTTTAGATCATTGAGATTTAATTGCAAATATATATTTCTAATATTCACATTGATGAAATCAGCTACAGATATAACTACCTCACCTGCAAATTCAGGAGGACATAAAAGCTGAGTCCAAAAGCCAAAAGTAGGAAGATAAATACTCCTGTCGATCTCAACAAAGTTTTAAAAATTACCTCCAACATAACAATGAATATTCCACAATTTTCAAACCTAGAAAAATTAAAATATTTACTCAATTTTGTTGTCAAAGTATTTCACTCAGTGGCAATATTTATCATGTATTAAGTGAGGTATTAAGTTTCCTAGATAAGACAATAAAGGCCAGTTATTTTGAAAAGAAAAAAAAGTACGAGAATTCATGAATAATGAAGTCTGTTATTTTTAGACTGTTTTGTCAAACTACTTTTTTTCATTCTCGTAAATGTTTATCTTTCATCATTGTACCAAAGTAAGAAAGAAAAAAAAATCATAGCTTTCCAGTGTCAAAGAAAATTATACCCAATGCTTAATAAAGGCATTAGAGTGATAAACTGTGTAGTACATTAAGTGGAAATTGATTAAATGAGCTCATGTGCTTGAAGGTACACAGACCTTGGCATGATTACATTTGTCCAGCCTCAGAATCTCTTTTAGGCCATTTCCCTTGTCCCCCCATCCTACATTGTGAAATATTTGTATAGCTAATGGGTGCATCGCCTGGCCTCTGGCTTGTGCTCTTATACTCTTCCTTTGCCAAAGATAACTTGTTAAAAGAGGGAATCACAAGATTTTAAAATTTTTACTACCCAATATATACATGAATTAAAGCATAACATTGTGCCTCACATGTATTTACAAATATTATGTGTTAACTGAGAAATAAAATTAAATCAAAATTAACAAAAACCCTTTATGGGTCTTGTCTTAGGTTTCCAGAGATGCCTAGTAACTTGCCAAAGTCACTGATAATGAAAGAGCAAAGGGAATGATAATGCCTGAAACCAAACTGAATATTCCTTAATTCTGGGCCACTGCCCTTCCCACCACATCACATCTTCTCCAGGGAGTTGGGCTTCTCTTGACACCACTTGACAACAGCTAGGGATGTTGTTAAAACACTTACAATACACAAGACAGTCTCCTCTCCCAATACACAATTACAAGATGAACTAACTGGCCCAACATTTCAATAATGCCTAGTTTAAGAGACCTTGGTCTACATTCTGATTTCTACAACCCCCTCCATCTTGCCTTAATAGGATGTAAAAATATCTTCACACTGGAAAAAGGAACAATGTAGTTATAAATTCATGTCACTTCTAATAGTTTTTCTTTTGACATTAAAAATGCTTAAAGGACACAGAAATCATTCGAAATTGTTTCACCTTTGAAGGTACAACAAGAAGTTCATCCAATAGAAGAATATTGCAATTGCTCCGCATTGCCACTGAACATATGCTGGTATGCTGACAAATAAGGGCAGCACAAAAATGATGCTGGTTGTGTAGATAATCCACTCTAAGGCATTGTTGTAATCCAGGAAGTAATTCCTTTTCTTGGATTGAAAAGAATGAAGAATTACACATAAAGAGACCTGGTATCTTATGGATAATTACATATATCGTTAGGAACAACGAGTCATTTCCTGCCATCCTTGGTTGATTTATGAGCCCCTGGAGTATGGATCAGTGTTTTCCAAGTCATTGGTTGACCAGGAGCAATGGGACCCATACTGAGACTTGACCAGGAGATGAAAATAAGTCATGATAGTATTGTTAAACATTTCTTGTTTCAAACATTAAATTTTCCATCATGAAGAACATTTAAATAGCAATAAGATAACATGAAGATCAAATCTGACAGACAATTCATATAAATTTATAATTCAGTTTGAAATACAATCAGCAATCTTCACTTAGGAAAATGAAAAATACATCAAGAGAGACTAAATGTGTTCTAAATCATTTGAGATAAAATTGAGTGATTCTCAGAATTGTGACAATTTACCAAAAACAATATATGAAAGCTCTGGAGTAATAGTAAATAAATGCAAAGTATTGTTATCAACAAAATTCTTTCTTTCATATGTTTAATGAGGTAAAAAGAACATTTTCACAGAAAATGAGGTGTTGTGTAATAGGTATGATTTAAAGTAATGTTCACAAAAATATAAAAACATGAATAATACAAACTTAAACCCCCATTCTTAGAAAGGTTTTTAAAAAGCAAAGACCTGTAGATAATTCTTAGGTCTAATCTGAACTTGGAATACCCTTTTAAAATAAAAAGAGTATAAATTAATGAAAGAAATGTATTATCAAAATTTCCAAGTCAGGCATGGAGGCCCACACATGTAATCCCACCACTTGGGAGTCTGAGGCAGGAGAATAACAAGTTCCAGGCTAGCCTGTTCTATTTAATGAGCCCCATTTCAAAAAAATTAAAAATAAAGTTTCCAAATTTTATTGTAGGCTCTGATCTTTTCCAATAAAGAAAAGTATTCCTATTAGGGAAGGAATTCAAAGACAGACCCATTTGAAATGAGGCCAGGCTAGATGAGTTCTTTATAAATATTTACATTTAAAAGTATGAAATTAAAATATCATTATGTTAGCAAAATGTTAAAAATTATGTATTAGAAGACACAGCAAAGTTATTCATAATGATTAGGTATGGCAAAACAGATCCATCTAGACAACTAAAGGTGGGGTGTCTCTTTTTCAGATATATCAAACAGGCAGGAAGCAATCTGATCTAAAATCACACATTTCTATATTTCAAAATGAAATTCCTGCTTGGTATTTCAACTTATAAAATTTCAATATTATTGAAAATAATTATTTCAAATAATTACTTGTCAATTAATTCATGCTCTGTACATTAAAACATTTGCAACTTTAGAGATACAAAATATGTACCTGCTGGAAAATTTGGATTACTTCTTTGCAGTATCCAAATATACTTGATAAAAAGACTAAAACCATACAAACTTTTATTGGGTATGAATTCTGAAACAGAAAAGTGTAAGACAAGTGGTTACAAAGGATAAAACAAATACTTTGTTTCATAATTTCCCACTATTAGGTATTTATTTTGTCTTCTTTTGCTTAACTTTTATGTATTGTATACATATGACTTTAACAGAAAATTATTGCCATGGCAATACTCATCTTTAAGTAGAGATTATAAACTAATTTCATAATTTCCTTATTAAGATAGGTTCGAATATTTCCAATTGAATTCTAAAGGAATACAAATCTATAGGCCTATATATTTTCGTGATAAGAATTACATATGACATAACATTTTACATGTACATATACATTATAAATGTGCAGTTCAGTCATGTTAGCACATTCACAATGTTCTACCACCATCACCACTACCTGGCTCCATAGCTTTTCATCATCTCATATAGAAATCCCATATTTAAGTGTCTCTCCCTATTTCCATGTCCCCTTAGTCCCTGAAAACCATAGATCTGTGTTACTGCAAAAATATCTTAAGTCTTACATTTCAATATTCAAACTAATATCTTATACATGTCAATTTATTTTAAATTTGTTTACTAACTCATTTACTGACTTATTTACTTATATGTCTTCTCATTCCATAAAATATTTTAGAAGAAACTGGTACCGTATATAAATTCTATAGGCTGTTTACAATAATCAAACTCCTGATAGCTTAGGTTTAATACGGTCTTGGTGTCCCTAAGAAAAGATACATGTTTACAATACTTTGTTTTTAAAAGTTGAAGTGTGAAAATACCGTAGTGTCTAATTTTTCTAAATGATTATTAGTTTCATTGATGATTCCAGTTGAGTTGAAAGCCATTCCTGGCTTTATATTGACAACAAGAAGGGTCATTGGTATTAGGCCAAGACAATAAGATCCTAGGTTCATCATATGGGCTCTGAATCCATAGGCACACCTACAGAATAGAAGCAATTCATAATTGAGTCATTTCAAACAAAATATTTAAAGATACCTGCATACAGTGATTATAATTCCCTTCAGAAATCTATTTTACAAAGGCATTGAACTTTAAAACCAAAAAAACCTTCTAATTTCCCTTTTTCATTTTCAGAGGAGGAATTGTGACTGACTTTAAGTCTCACCAATTAACAGAAGGCAGAGACTTGAATCCTGGTGTTATGACTACAAATTGAACACACCTCTCACTTCATTGTCCACTAAACTGTAGGATGCTTTTTCATGTCTCAGATAACAATTTCCTCCCATCCCTAAAATATTTCAAATATATTAGTGTCAAAGGTAAACAGCGCCAGGGTTTTTAGTGCCAAAATTTGCCTGTCATACTTACTTCTTTTCCAAAGTGTAAAATATTAAAATAACAAAACCTAAAATATTAAAATATCATTAAAACATAATTATTTAAGAGGACTTTTATAGACTTAATATGGAACTCACTTAAAAAAGAAATATTACTCAATACCAACCATTTCATGAGTAAATATTCTTTACACACAGGATGATTGAGAAGCTCTATACGGTTGTGTTGTACCATAACCTGGAAATAAGGATAAAGCAATAAAAATACAATCATATGAAACAAGTAAGTATTAGCTAAGCATTTTGTTGTCTGGGTTTATGACCTTACTTTGATATTATAAATGTAACATTTGTTTATTTTATGAATTTAGAAAAATCAATAATCACCTCAAGAATTAAGAAAAAACATAAGCTAGAGAGAGCCATTTTATACAGGTCTGCCTTTTTAAATCTCTAACTTGCAGAGATGATATAATCTTATACAGGATTCAACATAAACGGACATTAAAAATAATTTAGCAAGTACCACACCCTCTTTCTGTCTTTGAAGAAATTCAGCTTTATTTTTCTAGAAGGATTTTAAATAGTACAGTACATATAACTAGTTAAAATATTATATAGATTATAAGTTATCATGAGAGGTATTAGAAGACACAAGGATCTATTTTTCAAATTACACTTTAATTATTCCAGAAGTACATAAAGGAACAGATGCCAGCAAGATGACAGAATAGGAATCACCATATCCTCTTTCCTCCACAGAGGCACTGACTTAACAATACATGGACCATTGCTTTTTTGAGCAATCCAGAACCTAGTTAAGAGATCCTGAATCCCTCTGGGAAAACTGGATTTCCACCTTCAGAAGAATCAAACTAGATCCTAGTCTTTTACCTTGTGCAGCATCAACTCAAAATGGATTAAAGATATTAATGTAAGATCTGAAACAGTGAAATTAATCCAGGAAAAAAATAGGGAACACATTGGACCACATAGTTATAGGTAATAACTTTATGAATGGAACTCCAGTAGATCAGCAATTAAGAGAAAGTACTGCCAAATGGGATTACATGAAACTAAAAAGCTTCTGCACAGTAAAGGAAACAGTCACCAGACTGAGGAGAAAATGGAAGAAAATCTTTGCCAACTATACACCTGACACGGGATTAATAACCAGAATATACAGGGAGCTCAAAAAACTAACCTCTCAAAGAATCAACATCCCACTGAATAAATGGGCAAATGAATTGAACAATTCTCAAAAAAAGAAGTACTGATGCCCAATAAACATATAAAGAAATGCTCAACATCCCTGGCCATAAAGGAAATGCAAATCAAAACCACATTAAGATTCCACCTCACCCCAGTCAGAATGGCCATCATCGATAACACAAACAACAAACGCTGGTCAGGATGTGGGGGAAAAGGAACACTTCTACACTGTTGTTGCAAGTGTAAATTAGTGCAACACTATGGAAAGAAATATGGAGGTACCTCAAAAAACTAAAAACAGAACCACCATACCACTTCTAGGCATATATTCAAAAGAATATACTCCAGGGTATCACGGAGCCACTTGCACACCCGAGTTTATTGCAGCACTATTTACAATAGCCAAGCTTTGGAAACAGCCCAGATGTTCCACAACTGATGAATGGATTAAGAAAATGAGGTATATGTACACAATGGAGTTTTATTCAGCTATAAAGAAAAATGACATTATGTTATTGGCAGGTAAATGGATGGAACTGGAGAACCTCATGTTAAGTGAAATAAGCAGAGCCAAAGAAAATCAAAGGTCCCATGTTTTCTCTTATATGTGGAAGTTAGACCTAAAAGTTCAATGTATATATAGAAACCATATATGATCATATATATATATATATATATATATATGTATATATATATATATATATAGCAGCAACAGAGAGAACAAAAATTGTATTAGTTAATCTATGTGAGTGGGCTATGGGAGATAGAAGAAAGAAAATGTTAGATAATGAAAAATATTGAAACAACCCATTGATGTATGAATGTAATATAACGCACTGTACAATGAGCTGTTGAATATTAGGGGAACATGGTGATAGAGAATGCATAAGTAATGTAGGGGAGATTAATTTGATAAAAGCACAATATATACAAGCCTGAAATACCAAGGCAAAGCCCCTTGGACTATCAATATACACTTAACTTAAAAAATGAAGGGCAGAAGGGAAAAATAAATCTTTTCCAGGGCTGGGTACCAGTGGGAGGAGGGTGGGCACAACGAAAGGGGGAATGAGGGTGTATATGGTAGATGACTTTTGTATCCATATATGAAAATAAGAGAATGAAACCTGTTGAAATTATCCTAAGAAGGGGGTGGGGAAAGAGGAAAAATGATGGAGGGAGTAAATCTAACTAAGATATATTGTAAGCACATATGTAAATATCACAATGTATCCCCAAGTACAACTATTATATGCTGATAAAATCATTTTTAAAAAAGAAAAAAATGTACTGAATCACAGAAAAAGAGGTCCTGCACCCCAGAAGAACATTTAAGCAAGAAGAACCATATCAATGACAGAAGAATTTGTGGTATTTACTTGCCACATCCTTTCTGGCATTGGGAGAAAACTCCCAGTTCCTGGTCTTTCTCCTGGAGGAGAAAAAGGAGGGTGCAATGCACATCTAATGTTCTGACTTTTCAGGGCTTCTACAGGGAACGATTTCTATTTTGCCTGAATGTAAGCATCAACAGGAACAGACACCAGGAGGGGCCCACTGAGGTCAAAGTGGATCAGCAGGGCTGGTCTAGTACCCGAGACTGCAGTATCAAAGACAGGCACTAGGTAGTGCTGTAGTATCAGGGCCTGCTATTAGCAACAGGCCTGCTGTTAGCAACACATGGAGGGTCGTCTCCAGTAGAAACAGCCAGACCTCTTCAACTCCATTACCCAGAAAAGATGAATCCCTAGAAAAGTCACTTTGTGACTAAAAAATAAAGGGTTAGGCCAAATGGCAGGCATAGAGATTAAACTATAAAACTGGAATTCTCTCCTGGTCCCTTCCACTTTCATTAAGTATAGACTACTTATCAAGACATTTTACAACCCAGGGGGAAACTAGATATTGAAAACACTGAACTTACATTGAGGATTGAAAGAGGCTCATATCTAACTTCGTGTGTAGGTTTCTCATTTCTGGTAAATTCTAGTGGACATTGAAGATATCTGAAATTATATTCAATCTGTAGAAGATAAACATTTAAGTTAGTTAGTCTGTATAGACCCTAAATCATCTCTTTTTCCTCTTCCTTAGTTAGCTAGCTAGCTAGTTAGTGCATGATGAGGAGGGAGCCGAGGGCCTTCAGTAAGCAAGGCCAATCTCCCAAAGTACTTCTTTTACAGTGTTGCGACAGGAATGAGCAAAAAAGTAATTAGAATAATATGTAGATTATAAGTCTTCATGAGAGTTTATTAGGAACTACTAGTATCTTTTTTAGATTTCTTGACAAAGCAAATATGCAAGCCTACAATTCTGCTGAAAACTAACTGGTTCAGACAAAGATGAGCCACTTCAAGTGGAGAAAAAGAAATTAAATCATTATATATTAACTAAAAGGTATTCTGAGAAATTATTATTTTATTGCTTTATAACTCACAGTCATGGAAAAAGAGGAATTCTGCCCTGGTTTAGGCCCCATCTACATAAATGATTTGAGTAGCCCCAAATCTGGTGGCTCAAATTCATGATCCTCAGGAAAAAAAGTCACTGCATGGCCAGACTGCCTTTTGGATCCAATACTGGATCTAAGGTCCCAGATGGCCCCATAAGGCCATAACAGGACTCCTAGGGCATCTGGTCAACTCCATCTACAGAACTTGAGGAATTCTTTTAGATATTCACTCTTCAGACAAAGCTACCCAAGAAATATAAAGACAAACAATAACACTGAATGATGATGTTAGAAACAAAATATTTTGGGGAAAAGCTAGGATATAAGGAAAAAATTCTCTCACAAGTCATAATAATATAGTATTATGACAAATGAAACCAACATATATCATGCACAATAGATTGCAGACTATAGTAGCACTGATTTTTAATATTCTTCAAAGAATGTTAATACAAATCATGATAAAATAAACTCACGTGGTAGTCTCGGCAGGATTTGTCCTCTGTGGAAGGTATCATGCAGAAATCTAAAAGAAACTTCAGGAAAAATAACACAGGTTATTTAAAGCAGTTATGAGAAAGAATTTTATCTCATTTCTAAGTAACATACAGATTCCCTTCCCTTCCTTTGCTTCTTATACCTCAAGGATAAATTATAATCCATGTTATTCATAAATAAAGTTTAAAATAAATACCTCTGCATGCTCCAGAAATTCAGAAAAACACCATGTGTTTGAGAATGAAATTATAGTCACTAAAATTTTGCTAAGCAATATTCCATTAGCTTTTGCCAAAAATTAATTCTTTTGGGGCTTTTAGAGAGTATACAGATTATGAAGGATTCTTTTGTTCAGTCTTATCATGACAATTTATTGTTCTTAATTGAGAGTTTTCATCCCAGCACTGAATTCCTCCTATGGTTTAGGTCTTGTTTTCTGTACTACCCAAGTCTGGAATACTGTTTTCTTTTGTACCTTACTTGTCAATCACAACTGGGAGTACATGCTAGAGGGGAATGGCCAGGATAGTGAGAAATAGGTATTGAAATGAGAAATAGCTAAATACTCTCTAGATGCTTACCTCAGGAAGAGAACACTTATTGGGTCATTAGAACCACTCTTACACAGATATTTTTGTGGGGCTTCTGTCTACATAAATTATTTCAGTTACCCCAAATCTGGTGGTACAAATTCATGATCCTGAGGGAAAAAATTACTGCCTAGTTAGGCTACCTTTTTGGAACTAGTACTGTTCACAAGGTTCCAGATAGCTCTACTGAGCTACTGGGATACCTTGTTAACTCCACCTAAAGGACTCGAGCCCTAAACGGAGAAACAGGAAACTGGCTGGTCTCAGGTACCAGAGGGGAGTAGAAAATCTCAAGAAAGTCTCTGATGGTTACCAGACAGGAGTATAAGATTATAATAGGCATTATGGAAAATAAAAACAAAACTAGTCAGTAGCATAGTACAAAGCAGAACCAAAGAGTAGGTCTGGTTGTTAACAGTTTGAGAACTTTGTAAAACTCACCATAGATGAAATAAAGGATAGATTGCCTTGGAGAGTGGGGTGAGAATTTGCAAAACCAACTTTTCAGAGATTTATAAGGAATTCAAATGTGTGATGTGAAGCTAAACTAAAAGACCTTTAATGTTAGTGAAAAAAATCATAATATAAAATGATGCAAGTTATTGAAGAAAATTGGTAAATATGTAATTCTATAAAAGCAATAGTTATTCCATAATAAATAGCACTTACTAACATTTTGGCCTAATTTCTTCAATTTTTTTGTTTCATATAGGCCAATGTTTCCAACATATATATTTTTGTATTATAAACAACACCACAGGAAATATATATATATATATATATACTCATACCTCTGATTATTCAATAGGACAGGTTCTTCTTGGATTTTTGTTTGTTTGTTGTTTTGGGTTTTGTTTTTTTTGAGACACGGTCTTGCTATGTAGCCCAGGCTGGTCTCAAACCTTCTGCCTCTCATCCTCCTGAGTGTTGGGATTACAGGTGTGTGCTACCTCACCCAGCTCAAAAGATTCTAACAAATACAATTTACAAGTAAGAAAGTCTCAGATAGTTTTCAACCCTGAATATTGATGCATCCTTTGATGAGATTTATGTACCTAAAAAGTTAATCTGATGCCATTAGTGTGCTAGTCTGATTTCTATTGACTGTCATAAAAAAATGACCATGAAGCAATTAGCACAGAGTAAATGCTTACTGAAAAGTAAAAACAGTAGGTGGTAGTAGTAGCACTAAAAATCACATAAGCAATATGAAAAGAGTAGGGGAAAAGCAGCACAGCAAAAGGCAGGACAGGTTAAATCTTAGGGCCTTCAGCTTCTAAATCTGGTTCTCTCTTCTCTATGTCATTATCTTACTTCCTCTTCCAGTATTTGAATATATTTTTACTTTGAATGACATTTGAAGTCATTCTGCTTTTTTTGATGGGACTGGAGTCTTCCTCCCCCACCTCTACTGTCTCTTTCCTTTTTTTTTGATGTTCTCCCAGCCTTTCCTTTCTTTGATGGCTCTGTCAGAGACCATCTCTCCATCACTGGACTTCTGCCCAACACTGGCAGAAGCCAATTTTGGCTTCCTCAAATCTCACCTAGGAGATCTTTTATTTGTATCTTTAACATTTACATGTTTGACACTGTATAGTGCTAGGGATGTAGCTCAGTGGTAGAGTGCTTGCCTGGCGAGCATGAGGCCCTGGGTTCCATCCTCAGTGCTGTAATAAATATTCAAAGTTTGTGTGTTTATCCTGGGTGGATATCCAGTTATTTTCTGGTGTGGATTTAATCTAGCACAGGAAGGGAATGTTCAGAGGCCCAGGAAGGTTGGGGAAGTAATGTAAATGAATGACCACACTAGGCATAAGAGTTCTTTCCCATTGTTCGTGACACACTGGCTCTCTTTAGACTGACTTTTATCTTCACAGTATGGATGGAGGCACATATCAAGAACAATCTATTACAGGGAAAGTAACTGCATATGAAGCACAACACATGACAACTAACACTTATCCTAGTGCTGAGTATATGAAAGGGAGCAGAGGAGTGTACCAAATGTTAGGTTAGTACTGGTTAGTAACTAACCAGTGTTAGGGTGAACAAAAAGAAGCCACCTTAGGATTGGACCCTCCACCCCTTGCAGGCAGTGTACTGATACCTCACCATCCACTGGAAGGACCACATCTACACTTAAGGAAATGACAAGCCACCACCTCACCAGGGGGTCTGGAGCTGAGCACCTTATCTACCTAATTACCACTTATCTCCTCCAGCTTCCCTGAGCAATTTATCTACCTAGTTACCACTTATCTCTTCTAGCTTCCCCTAGTGATGGTTGACTCCACTCCAGAAGAGTTTTCCCACCCAGTGGGGTTTCCCCTCCAGACTACCCCCCTATATCTACTCCAAATCTGTAAGTGGCTGGAGGCTCCAGCTCTCTTGCTGGGGTCTCCCTCTGCAGGGCTCCTTCCCGAGCAATAAATCCTATGCTGGTGCTTGAGCCATCTCTTTGCCTCTTCCAGGCCTCTTTCATTTCTAACAGATGGTGCCGAAACCCAGGATGCACAGGTTTGACTCCCAGGTCTCTGCTGTCACAACATGGAAAGAAGAGGTCAGCAACAGCTCTTCCAAGGCTCACTTTGGGACCCTGACTGGAAGCTGCAGTCTTCCTCCCCTTTCTCCACTGTCTCCTTTTTTTTCGATGCTCTCCAACCCTTTTCTTTCTTTGACAGCTCTGCCAGAGACCATCTCCCCATCGCTGGACTTCCGCCCAACACTGGCAGATGCCAATTTTGGTGAGTTTTCCCCTTCATCCAGGTTTCTCTCTAATTCTACCGTGGACAACCTACTGTGGATCGTGGAAACCCAGGCTGAGCAAGAGACTCCTTCTGTCCACCACTGGGCAGATTCACCTGCTATTTTCTGGGGACCCTTGGAAAATATCCAGAGCCATGTACTTGTAGGCTATCAGTTGGCAGTGAGGACGCTCTGTTTTCTCATGTACCTGTCCTACCAGGTAGGGCCGTTGTGGGGAATAGCTATATCGCCTCTCAATCTCAGTCTAGGTCCCATGGAAATTGTCTCACTTTTGGAATTGTCTCGATTTTGGACCTTAGGTCCCACTGGAATTGTCGCACTGGAACTGTCCTGATTTCAAACCCTCAATTTCCAATCCACAAAATGGGTCAAAAGTCATGGAAGCCCCCAAAGGACAGTCCACTGGCATGTTTACCCCAAAACCTTCAGACCCTGGGGCTCACAAAGACTGTAAACCCAAATGGTTAATTTTCCATTGTAACACAATTTGGCCCCAGTGTGAATTAGACAGTGATAACTGTTGGCCTAAACTAGGCACTTTTGATTTCCAAATTTGGGGTGAAAATTTTCTCTCACACTATGGCAGATGGTTTAAGGTCCCATACGTTCAGGTTTTCACTTATCTCCACTCAAAACCTTCTTTCTGTCAGTCTTATAATTCCTTCCAGATCCTCCTTCTAAATAAAAAACCCTCCAAAAAACTGTATTCCTTACCTTCCTAAGCTGCATCACCATTAAAAACCTCCTCTGACTTCAACCCAGCTCTATGTCATCCTTTCCCTGTTTTTTTTTCATTTCACAAGGTATAAATAGTGTATAACTTTAAAACTCTTCTGTCTAAATCTGTCTCAGCCATGATGGATGTTACTTTCACCCTTCTCACCCTAATACCCAGCAGTTCCTGTTTTGTGAGAAGGCAGTGCAGGCCTCAGATATGACTTTTATAGCAAGCTAGATATCTGGACCTTTCAGGAAAGTATTATGGTTGTAAATACTGCAACTAATGCAGATTTGAAACAACAAAAACATGCACGCTAAGCAAAACAGATCTTAAACATTTATTCAGCCAACAAATACCATTGTAGTCTCTGCCTCCAACTTGAATTGTTTGAAGAAAAAAAATGTTTACTATATTTTCTCCAATATTACACATAATATCTGATAGGATTCTAATCAAATAGGTCCTTATTAAATACTTGTTGACTCATTTATGGAAAGCTAGAAATCTCTTATCAAGATGAAAATTACTATTATTGGGTTGTCATTACAACAATAAATCCTCATATTATATGCCGGGCATGTGCAAATAAGGAGGTTTATTTTAGAGAGCTTACTTTCATGCATTCAGGGAGGTATTCTACCATTTCCATGATTGGGCATTTATTGCATGGCGAACAATGCATAAAAACCTTAAGACATTCATCCCATCTGTAAAATAAAATAGATAAATAAGACAAATGCAAATCTAAATCCTTTTCTGCACAATAGTTGAAATTTAAGATAGTATCTTTAGGAAAAACTTTAAGCTTATTCTTGAAATGTAATGTTCACTAATTGGTTCCTGTAGAATCCATATGTGAACCAAGGTCTATTAATAGGATTCTTGCCCATTGAAAATTGGGAATATGGGAAAACTCCAAAATGATACAGGGCTTGTGCATATCTACCTAAGATGATACAGAAAAGTTATATTTAAGAAGTAGAAAAAAAATTACCCTCAACTTTATCATTTAAAATCTTTAGAGTATGGTTTAAAAACCTACAACCACAAACAATCATGTGTTAAAGGGAATTTCATTAAATGACACCAGTAAACTTACGGAATATTTTCACCAACATCCAGTTTTGGAGTTTTTGTTGTTAAGAGTGTTGGGCAAAGGGCTGGCAGAGTGGCTCAAGTGGTAGAGTACCAGCTTAGCAAGTGTGAAGCCCTGAATTCAAACATCATTGCCACCAAAAACAAACAAAAACCCAAAGAGTGTCAGGTAAGTTCAGGTAGGGCAGGGCTCAATTTGCTTGACAAGGACCTTGGTGTCTGATATGTTGTGTGCCTGGATTCCTGTGTCTCTCAGGGTAGTATTATGTTCCCTTCTTTAATTTTTTGTAGAAATGAAAATTGAAGATAGGGTATGAAACAATATGCCTCTTGTCACCTGAAAGGTCCATTAAAAATCACATGAACAACTGACATTTTAAATATTGATGAATGGCTGAAACATTTGTTTCCTGTCAAGGCTGAGTCATCCTGGTGCCACAGAATAGTGGTTAACATTGGGCCAGAAGGCAGGTACCTTTTGCTCCTGATGGTGGTAAGAACCACCTCCTTCCTCTTATTATGAAGTGCGATGTGCAGAAAAGAAGCCTGCTGCTTATTCAGGAGGATGTCAGCATCGTAGTTCAGAAGAAGTGCAACAGCTTTAGCGTGCCCTTCCCGTGCTGCAAAGTGGAGCGCCGTGTTCTTCGAGAGAAACAGAACACAGAAGAAACGGTGACAACAGCTAATTGTTATTTGGTAATGTGTTGCCTTGTTTCATTGCTGAAGTGCATAAAAGAAGCAACCAATGAACCTAATTATTTAATTCTGAAATAGATAAATTTTAAACTGGTGTTCAGAATCAAGCTTTGAAATAATGAGTATATTTCAAACATGGCGTGTGGTATGTGTGTGTGTGTGTTCCAGGAGGTCTATTTTGCATTTCTTTTGCAGTGAGATAATTCCATAAGGACAAAGGACAAACTTCCAGTGTAAAGATAGTGAACATAGAAGAAAATACACCTGGGAAATTTATCATCTATTACAGCTACTGTTTTCAGACTTAGGATTTCCCAAGCTCATTAAAAAATAATCAGAGTTTGTTATAAAGTTGCCAATTTGTTGTCATGCCATATAAAAATATCTTTTAAAAAAGAGCAATCTTATCTCTATTGCTTCATGAACAAATGTACATTTCCATGCTTGCTCTCCAAAGGAGGAAGGACATACTAGTACAATAAAACACAGTACTTCTAATCAATACTCTTCAAAATAATGCACTTAGTTTTATGAATATTCAACACCCCTATCTTCATTCTTTTGGTTCACCAAAGTGGTAAAAGCCAAAATAGGACTGAACAGGCCTCTATGACATTGGAGGGGTAGCCTCAGCACCCACCTCCACCCTTAGTATTCTCCAATTTCTGTTCTCCTTTTACTCATACCTCACTCCAAGAATGTACTTGTTAAAAACCCAACAAAAGTCTGGGAGTACGGCAAGGAAGGGAAGAGTATGGCTAAGAGGAAGGCTTTCCTGCAATTTTACAAGTTCATTCTAAACCAAGATTTTAATTTGGTAAAAGGAATATAGTACATACCCCTTCTTCATCTAGCCGATCTGTGCACTTCAAATTAGTATCAAGAATGACCTTCATGGTCTGAGTGTACCCACCCAAGGAAGCATGATGCAAAGCAGTCCAGCCATTGTGGTCACTGTTAGAGAGTTAAGAAAAGACATGTGCAGACACTTTACAGGTCAGTGTGGAAAGGGATGTCACTCAGTTCATGGCGGGTGGGTCTGATGACAAAAAGACTTATCTGAGACCTAGGCACTCAGTATTTTATACTTATAATATGTGAGATAATTTCAAAACTAATGGTCTTAAATGATATCTATAACATCATTCACACTTATATGTTTCAGTAGATTAAAATGTGGAGAATATAAACATATTACCAAACACTTGAGAATGTCAATGTCATACAAAGCTCTAATGTACTTAAACATACTTTTTCAATCTTGTTTCATTGTTTCTTTGAACATTGTACAAAAATGTTCCATAACTGTTACTACCAATACTAATAATGATTTGATCTGACACTACATGGTTTTAAAATCCTTAGATTAGTATCATCTATTCTTATAAATGTTCATGCCTGTATTCTCTTGTGCTATCAAGGGTGTCTACTCAATTCCTTTGGAAAATATTTGTTCAAGATGTAAATACAATGAAGGCTTGTCATATTGTAATACTTTCCCAAATAAGTCACAGGAAAAAATTGACACAAGTTAACTTCAGTGCTAATGAGCAGCTATCTTAGGGTGGAAGAGCCACCTGGCTACTTCAGTTACACAATTAAGTGACAACTGTTGGCCTGAGACCACTTGTGTCTCCTTTATATCCCCTAGGAGCAGGAAAAGACTGAGCAGAGCATTCAGTTCAAAGCTGTATCATTAATTTGTTTGCACTGGTACTGTGATGTAGAAATGCATTTTTGAACATTAGCTTAATGAGCTATTGGGTAAAATTAGAAGACAGCTCACTATACCACTGTAAGTATTTTTAGATTTGTCTTTTCTTTTTACAAAGATGCCATTCAATTATAGCACATAGTTTATTAGGCTTACATAGTTTATCTTGGTTTTGTTCTTCCTGTTAGATTTCCTTTAGGTATAATGAAGTTCATTGCACTTTTATTGCCTCCTGTTGTCACTTTGGATGTCCATCACTTAACAGACTAAATGAAAAGTCCTTGAGATTTGTGTAGTTTTGAATTTGTGTGTGTAAAAATGTGCATACCAAGCACAGTTTTGTGTCTGCCTATGATGGCAACATGATGAAGTAAAATATGAGGAGATGTATTTCAAAGGTTCTCAGAAAGACTCTGCCAAAGCCATTTTTCTGGGACTTTGAACAAAGTCTTCAATCTATAAATCACTGTTCATTTGACAAATGGGAATAATATTGAATTCTCTCTTAATAGCTCAGAAATTGTGTATGTGTTGAGGATTAAATAAGATGAATAGAAGTGCTTAGTGAGATAAAAATTTAGGTACCATGATTAAAAGTATATAACAGCAGCCTGAAAATGGCTAACTAAAAATAACATAAAACCCCACTCTTATCTCCTCACCTAAGGAACAGTGCACCTTTTTTCAGAAGCAGTTGAACTACTTTGTCATGTCCGTTTTTTGCTGCCAGATGGAGTGGAGTCATGCCGTGAAGATCCCCTTCATTCAAAAGCCTTGTATCACTGATATCCTGGAGGAGCCTCTGACAGGTATTGATACGCCCATAACTTGAAAAAATTAGGTTTTATATTTTCAAAATAAATACTAAACAGACAAAAGACAGGCTCATATATCGTGTAGACTGACTCTTACCTGGCTGCAAAATGCAGAGGTGACTTCTTATCTTTGCTTTTGGAATGAATGGACACATTAAAACCAAGGAGGTTATTTACAGAGACAGGGACCCCCTGTCTACATGCGTAATGTAGAGGAGTGCATCCATCATTGTCCTCATCCATCACCAGCTCCTTGATATGCTGCATCTACGGGAAAATGAATATTCTGCACATAGCTCTGCAGTTATGCTAATATAGGATTTTTTTCAAATTATTCCGTAGCATAGTAGTTTCCAATAAGGGTCAATTTGTATTCTTCAAGGTAAAACTATAAACAATATGAAGGGTACTATGGTAAAATAAATATGGATGAACACTCATGCTCTGTCTGTAATATATGTTGCCATATTAAAGGCTCTGAGAGATCCTGCAAGCAGGAAAGATACTTAAAACAGCATTTTCCAAACACATTTGACCACACTCCTTCATCTTCCCCCCCCGCATTGTGTTTCCAAATAACGAGTAAGAGTTTAATGTGTTCTGTTAGGTCAAAGGGATGGGATGTTAAAAAATGGTTTGCTTTATTTTTTTATGTGGACATTAAACAAAAGAATGAATGGCAAGTGAGTAGCCTAATCCAATTCATAATATGCTATTTTTATCTAAACTATTCAAGTAATATATTTTGGATTCTTTATTAAGGATAGTAACAGCATAAGAATCTATTTATTATAAAAATATGGCACACTTGACATGTACCTAATAGCCATTCAGTAAATATTAGCTGGTTAATAGGAGTATGGAGATAGTGCTTTCAGCCTGTGATCAGTGAGTCAAGTATGCTGAATCACCTTTATTTTTAATTGATGGTAGAGTATTGCCAATCCACTCACATGCTTGGCTTTTCCACATGTGTGCAATTTGTAATGGTCAATGAGTGAAGGAAATACGACATTAAATATGTATCCTTATTATAGACAAGGACATATGGAAACCCTTTGTAACTTCAAAAACTCAATCCTGATGCAATTATCAGCATCCTCATTCTTATCACCACTACCATGATGTAAATAGATATTCAAATACAGCATCTCTATTTTTAAAACATTTTTGAAATCCCAGAATGAGCCCTCATAACAGTAAAAATCGTAGCAAAATCAGTTTTCTCTCCGTTAAACACAACTAGTTTATGACCTCTTTGACATACACTACCTGCAAAAACTCAGGTCTCAGATTCTTTAATCCGTAAGGTTGCTGTACAGTCAAATGTAAAAAATTACGCCCAAGATGATCTTTTATGTCTACCTTGGCACCTAAAAAAACCCAGATAGATGTAAATTTTACTCATTCGTTTAAAACATGGCCTATGGTGGATTTGCAAATTAATAAAAGGTATTAACAAAAACTTTTCCAACCTTTAACTTATAAACAATTGTATCTAGGTAGGGAAACTAAGAATTTTTAAAAATTGGCTTATGTGTTTGCACATGTGTGAGGTAGTAGGGAACTTGTGGAGCTCTGCATTAATATATGAAACCTTAACTTTTAAAACCTAAACTATGAATATATGCAATTAGATATGAAGAAGAAAGAGGGAAGAGAAGGAGAGCTCACCACTTTGTTATCACAGCACTAGGTTAGTACCTAGAGTAGAGTTAAAGCACCTAAACCATCCAGAACTGACTCATATACAGAAAACTGGCAAGATGTTCAGGAAATGCCAAGGATATAATAATCACCTTATAAATGTTATCTATTATTGCTTTAAAATTATCCTTTTACATATTGCTCCTTTGTTGGCCTAAAAGGCATTGTAGACATGAAAAGTGTTCTGTCAATCTTTATATTCACAGCACCTGGACCAGTGCCTGGCACACAAAAGATGGTTTTTAAACGTTTATCTGATCTACTTGAGTAGCAGGCCCAAAGGCTTGGCATGCTCCCTAGTCATACCTTTAGAGAGTAGCAAATTTACAATATTCCAAGATGCAGAAGCAGTTGCTAGTATCAGTGGAGAGCGTCCTTCTGAATCAGTAATGTTGATATCTGCTCCCTAAAACAGAGCAAATCATTCAGCAAAGAGCTAAGAACAGATAAACCAGCTTGCACTGAAATCTATAAATAATGTAAATCCACTAGATAGAGTATCTATATTATGGCCAGCGTCCAAGCACATGGATAATTATGAAATTGTGTGAATTTTCTCTATGATCCATATGCTATAGCATCAGAAATCAAGGCATTTTTTTTCATAATCTAAAAGACAGAATTATTCTCACATGATAAACTTTTGACTGAGATCTAGCAATAGATCTATTAGTAACTAAATCCTAAAAGTAAAACCCTCTGATATATAACAGTATTTTAGTTCACACCATAAGAAATCATTTTAAATATCCATAATCTAAAAAAGTCTTCCGTATCTATTGCATATCTGATTTTTAAGGCATTCACCAGAAACCATTCTGCTGTGGTGGCACATGCCCATGACCTCAGTTATGTGGAAGACATAGACAGGAGGACCTCAGTCTAAGTCAAGCTCAGGCAAAAACCAGGAGACTCTATCTGAAAAATAGCCTAGAAAGCAAAAAGGGCTGGGGGCCTGGCTCAAATAATAAGAGTGCTTACCTAGCAAGTGTGAGGCCCTAAGTTCAAATGTCAATACCATTAAAAAAAAAACCAAATGCTCTTTGTTACTACTAGCTTTATGGTCATTATGCATCCATACAACATACAGTACAGTTGCAAATGTCCTAATCATCCTTCTAGAACGTTTTCTTTGTTGCTAAACAAGATATTAAAATATAACTTATTTCTGAAAATCCATATTATGTATTTATATGATTTTTTCAGCTATACACAGTAATTAAGAAAAATAAACCTATCAGTTGAATAGTTACCACTGAAATTAAGTAGTCTGCTAGGTCATGGTGATCAAATAATGAGGCCCTGCAAAAAGAGAATTAAGATAATATTGATATAAATAAGGAAATCACAGCTACCATAGTAAGAAAGGAAATTTTTAGCTGGAACTTTAATGACATAATATAATGTTAAAGAATTAGTAACCTTTGAAAATTTATCATTGATTCCGATTAGTGTATTTTCAAAGTAACAGTAATAGAGAAAAAATCAAATGTGTCACAAAATTTTCTCCCTTATCTTTTAGTGAAACTATTTTCTTATGTAAAATCATCATGAAAATAATCTCAAGTGAATAGTGACATCTGCTCCAAGATACAAAAGATCACTGTGATCACAGAAGCTAAACACACCTGCCTGCCAGGTGCACCCAAAATTCACCTGTAGAGTTCCCAAGGCCCCTCTCCAAGGGCTCTTCTTGTTCAAGCTAACAAGGAAGGAAAAATTGGATTTCCTAAGATTTTATGAAGTCAAAACTAACAAAGAGAATTGAAGTTAATTTGTTGTCATCTTTCAGTCAGCCATAGGAATAGTCTTAATTAATAAAGCAAATAAACGTATAAACACGTCACTATAACAAATGCTGTACTAATGGACTAAACCTGTGCTTTCTATCACAAACCCCATTTCTGTGTTCCTATTCAAGATTAGCTCAGAACTTCTTGGCCCTTCATATATAAGTTTCATTTGCTGATTTCCACCAAAACTTTACAGATTGCTTTTTATTTTTTATGATAATAATTTTAGGAATTGCAATATAATACTAAGGCCTCATTTTCCTAAATTAATTCCTCCTTTGGCATATTTATATGTGATGATTGTGTTCTAAAGTATAAACTATAATCGAGTCTCAGGGCTTCCAAACTGACTAAACACTAGAATCAAAGAGCTCTAAAAACTCCCAGACTCACCACAGAGTTTCTGATAGAAGCTGGGGTATTAATTGCCATTGGGATTTATCAGCTCTTGCATGCTGATTATGCTTAGCAATTGGAGAATCTCCAGTCTAGAGATTAGTCTACCTATTGTGTTTTATTTTATTTCAGTGTTTTTTAGGGTTTCTACCTGGATCTTTTCCTATTACTACTCTTAGATTTATATATGCCAGTTTGTCCTAATCTTGTTATCATATCTGTTGTATTTTTACACAACTTATTATTCCTTCTTTAAAATTTTTGAAGGACTTAAATGTCTTCATTTTAAATTTCTTTTCAGATCGCACTACTCTTTCCATTTCCTTGGAAGTACATGACTCTTTGAGTGGTTTTTCTTGTTTTGTTTTGTTTTGTAACTAGCCTTCTTTGAGGTTATGAAAGTTTAATTTGCTCACTCATTCTAAGTGGGAGTTCCTTGCTATTCATGCATATTTTGTCATGACTGGTGGCTTTGCTAATGTGACTTATTCCCAGCTCCCCAGTTAGAAGTGCACCTTATGTTGGTAACTAGAGTTTCTTTTTCCTTTAGATTATTGTGGATGTCTTGGTCCAAATACCTACTGTGACTTGTCAGCTCTTTTCTGCCATTCTAGGCTTCCAGTCTACTCACAGGTCTATGTGTGGGGTTTGTTTTGTATAAGAGACAGAGATAGAGAGACAAGGACAGAAAGAGAGAGAGAGAGAGAGAGAGAGAGAGAGAGAGAGAGAGAGAGAGAGAGAGGGAGAGACAGGGAATTCTCATTTCAGCCACCTGGTTCACTCACATGGGGAGCATTTAATCCTTGTTTTCCCAAGGGACTTAAACTCCGCCCTGTACCTTGTGCTCCCACCTCAGCATTAGGCCTACATTTCCAGATACCTTCTCTGATGCATATTTCTGTTAAAGCCCATAGAAATATGTATCATATTTGGACAATTAGTTATAATTTCCTAAAGCCATATGTTTTTGAAAGCATTTACCCATAATTGTGAAGTTGGGCAGAAGTGTTCAGAGTGACAGTAGGATACTCATTTGTGTCTGCTCCATTATTGTCACACAGGAAGAATTGGAACAGACCAGGAATGGCTTACAAAGCTTTTCTTCTTGGCTTCCTTAGCATGTAGACAGTCAATCCTGAACTCAAATGCAGTGGACCAAGAACAGATCCACAATACACCACTGGAGGTTTTATTCTTTAAGGATCAATTGAATATTCTACTCTAATCCCTCAGGAACTAAGTCCAGTTAACCCCCAGGCTCTCTGTACCTTCTGAGCAGTGGAATCTTGGCTACTGCACTTGTGGCTTTTTCCTGTGAGATATCACGTAGCGTGTGAAAACGAAGCATCTACACAGAATCACAAGTAGGAAACTTGCCTGTGAAGCAGTGTCTCATGATTTCCATCCACCGCGTTGACAATGTCGCTGCTCCCAGAGTAGGATGAGATCATCAGTTTAACAATCTCCGTGGCTCCCTGGGTTGCAGCAAAATGCAGGGCCATGCACTTGCCATTCTATAAACAATTTTGACACCAGAATCAGTGTTTAAATCTCCACTGAAGGACACAACTTATATGCAGCTGTGACTTTCTTCTTCCAACATCAAAGAATGTAAGACTTAAGATGATAAATAGTGCTCAGTTTCACATATTGAAAAGCATCAGGATAGCTCATGCCTGTAATCCCAGCTACTTGAGGTAGAGATCAAAAGGATCATGGTTCAAGACCAGCCTAGGCAAAAAGGTAGCAAGACTCCAACTCAATGAAATAAACTCAGTGGTTCCCACTTCTAATCTCAGCTCTGCAGGAGGATCATGGCAAAAATTAATAAATAAATAAAATAAGACTCTATCTGAAAAATAACTAAAGCAAAAAGGTCTCGTGACATGGCTCAAGTGGTAGAGTACCTGCTCAGCAAGCACATAGGCCCTGACTTCAAACCCCAGTAACCCTCCCCCGCAAAAAAAGAAAGAAAAAAAAAGCATCAGTGTACAAATCATAGCAAGTACCCATGCCTCCTTGCCCTCTGACATCTCATGGCATAAACCACCATCATCATTATCTGGACCATCATTTCCCTCCAGGAGTATGAAGACTTCTCCTTCACTGCTTAGGCATACAGTATATAAATGGACCCTCTCCATTTCTATATTGAAGGGACTTGGGGGTGGTGTCCAGAAGCTGCATAAGATTAAGAACAAATCTCTTCTTCTTCCAGAAAGGACAGGCCTTTGAGGTAGCTGGGAGGGGGAGTACACTGTTATCTAAAACCCAAGACACTGATAGGAAAAGGGCCTGAAGTATGTACTTTAGTCAGACATGCCTGGCATAAGGCCAGAACCCAGGTTCAGTTAACATTTTCACATACATATCCTTGAAGTTCGTTAAATGTCCTTACTTAAATGACACAACTTTTCAGAAAAGAACTATAATTGGTTTGTAACGTTCCTGGCTGATGATATTAACATACTGCATTTGAGGATAGGCTTTAACTTATTTAATGGTAGTTAAGCTGGATATAGTCTTCACTATATCTGTATTTGTAATTTCTTTTGATATATTGAAATTTGCAAATATAAAAATTGAGACGTCTCTTCTATATGAACAGACAGGAATAATTATTTGTTTTCTGCTATATGCATTTTTAATCTAAATTGGCTGTAGAGGAACTATAACAGTTTTTGGGAAATAATTTATGGTGATTCTAAAATAAACTGTCATGTAAAGTATGGGAAGTTACCTCCTTCAGGTCTATGTGCGCGCCATTGTCCAGGCACATTTTAATCATTTCCAAGTCACCGCTCTGGACTGCCAGGTGGAGCGGGCTGGCTTTCTTGTTATTCACAAAGTTAATGTGAGACTGTCTACTGTAGCCACATTTTTCACCTTTGGAAGAAAATAACATTTGAAATGAACAGCAAAAGAGAAAAAAAAAAAAACCAAAAACCCAAAACCAAAACCAATAAGATCTTTAAAAAGAAAGGGCGTTTAGACTAACATAAAAGACCATATGTAAATTCTACTACATATTTTCAAATGAAGAGTATCTACCAGCACAGGTTTCTTTATCATACAGAATTCAGGAAAAGCTGCCACTCACCATACTTTAATATGAGTTCCATGCATTTTGTGGCACCTGAAAAGGCAGCCTGGTGAACAGGGTAATCTCCCCACTTGTTTGATTTACACAACTTAGCTCCTTTATTTAACTGGCGGAAAAGAAAGAAGCAAAAAGTCAACAACACCAGTTAAACCCTACGCCACAAGGGTGGCCAAGGATGTCTGTCATTCCCATGCCATTTCACGCTTCTGTGTCTATGTAAAAATATACTGAAGACTGCACTGATCTGGCATCTAGGCAAGAAGGTAATTTCAGAACTAGGTTCAGATTCTGCAGTACAGGCACTTTACATCTTGCAAAAATGAAGTAACATCATGATACAAAAATATCAATCTTGAAACCCCAACAAACTAGTCAACATTCTTTAATGTGATTAATGAGTTTTTTTAAAACATTATCATGGTCTCTTTGCTCTTTCTCAACTTCTTATGCAAATAGTGTTAATATTTTCCAGACTCCTTTCCCTTCATTTATTTCCCATAAATAAAATAATATACCAGCACTCTCCAAGTACCATTTTTTTTAAATCACTGGGCTTCAGTTTTGTTTTAAGTACCTTTCATCATTACAAAAGAAGAGACTTCGAAATTGTGGAATAGTGTGAAGAAGTAGAAACTTAAAATCTTGCCTTCCGGAGGTAGTAGCAGCACACATATGTATGAATGTATGTATAGATTTGTGCAAAATTTTGTATATTTATAAATGGGAGCTGTGCCTCACAAATTTATATTGTTAAGGTATACATTTGTTAAGTAAAAGTTTTTTTAAAAATAATATAGTTACACAGAATACGCATAAAATTACACTTGCAAGATAATAAAGTCTTAAATGGATATTGTCTTCTAAAGTGCTTTTAACTTACTATTTAACTATTCTGTGTTCTTCATTTAAGTGGTTATTTATTTTTATTATCTTTATTATTCTTTGGCTCAACCATACCAGCTTATAGAGTATATATTTGTCTCTTAAGTACACCTAGTAAGCATGTTAACATATTTGTACATCTAAATATTTTTAAAATTCTTTCATTTTCTCACACTCTGGGATGGCGAAGACGCAAAATTAAGTGTTACAAATGCAGAACCTGATCTGGAGAGCACATAAGTGATTAAGGAATACTTGAAAGAAAGCTGTTTCCTGGAATTCTGGTAAGCTGGGGACTTCCAGGAACATAAGAAGTCACAGAGGCAAGTGTCTCCAGTGTCCTATTGGACTGCCCAGAAAACCTTTCTAGAGAGTAGGCTGACTGTCCACTCTCAGGGTTGTGGCTGGGACCTTTAGTCTTTACGCTGCTCAGGGCTCCCTTTTGAGTAGCCATGATGACCATTCTGGTCTTGAAAGCAGGAATGGTGCTGTTCCTTTGGCTTTTATCTTATGGTCCAAATAAGTCTGTAACCAACTGTCTCCATCTTTCCTTTGACCATTTGGAAACTCAGAATCAAATGGCTATCAACATACAGATTGTTATACTCTGCATTTTGTATTCCAAACTGACCATCAGCTTCATCTTAATTTTTTCCTGCCTGTATTTTCTTTTTACTTTGATTTTCACACATCTCCTTTCATGCTTTACTGTTAGCCTTTGATATGCAATTTCAGGTCCATTTAGGATCTAAGGGATACATACATATATAAAAACTCACAGAACTACAATTTTAAACCCATTTCTGTATTTTATATTTTGCTAAGCAGGGAAAATGAGCTATTATAAATAACAATAATTCATGAAAATGTCAAAAAGCAGCAAAATATGATTATTATACAAACCAAAATTTGTAGTGCCTCACTATTATCTTTGGTGCATGTGGTTAACACAGCTGTGTTTCCATTTTCTCCTTCCAAATCAACATTAGTACTACTGTGTTCAGTCAAGACCTACACAAAAGGGGAGAATGATTGTCAGAAGGCTAAATTGCAAATTTCCAAATCAGCCACTAGATTATAAATTCTCAGATGCCAGGGACCCTGTCTCATTCATCTTTTCATTCCTCTCTCACACAATCTGGCATAAAATGTTGCACATAGTGGGTATCAAATAATTTTATCAAATAGATAAAATGTTGATTTTCATATCACACCAATTAATGCAACATTGAGTTGTGGTGCTGTAAATAGAATAATAATTGTACATACTTAACATGGTTCCACTGAATACTTGCCATTTTTTAAAGTGAGCTATGTTAACTAAAATCTTCAAAAAACAAATTTAAGGAGCCATTTGGAATATGTGCATGGGGATAAGAGAAGGGAAGACAGAAGAGAGGGGGACAGAGAGAGAGAAGGGGAGGGAGGGAGGACGAGAAAGGAATGGGGATGGTGAGAGAGAGGGAGGGAGAGAGAGAGAAAGTGGGGGAGGAAGAAATGATTTCTTTTCCCCTCTAGCATGATTCATTTACCTAGATTGCAAAATTGTGAGAAATATCAATGAAAACCCATTCTCTTCAGTATAACTTAACTCAATTAATTCAAACTTGGTCTACAACGGAAGCTTTTTCTATAATATAAAAAATTAGTATCCTGATAAAACAGTTAAGTAATTTTTCTGATGGAATTTGATTGGACACTTGTTTGCTCCTCACCTGGTGACTGCCATTTAATTATTGGCCAAGTCAAAGATCTTTAACCAGTTTTTACTTCACATCGAATCTAACAAAAATTATTTCGTATAGCTGTCTCTCTCAAAAGAGAAATCTTTGACTTGGTCTGTGAAAAGGCTTTCCTCTTGCAGTAACACTACAATAAAACTGTGACATGGACTCATAATTAAATTGCTTTTGAAAAAGCAATTAAACAAGCCTATTAAATAAGTTATTTCCTAAGAACTTTGACTTCTGTAAACTAGTAGACAGAGGCCCCTAAAAGAGCCCCTTCTCAATAGAACATGCCTCAATGTGAGAGTTGACAAACAAATTAGGCTTACTAATGAGCTCCACTCAGAAAATTAAACTGAGATTTCAGTACTTAGGAACCCACAGAAAAATTGTTGATGGATGAGGGGAAAGGAGAAGCAAAGCATCCTTTCTTGGACTTCAAGCACATTCACATTCTATACTTAGGAAGTTCTAGATTCATGTAAAAGAACCCACCAAAGTCTATAAGAAGAGACTGTCTTTCTATTCGCCCTCTTAGAATCACAGATCATATATTTACAGCATTTACTAGGATGTAATTATTATATTCCCATAAGCATAATCTATCTAAAGCTGTGTTAAATTACATGTGGCAGCCTTCCAGAGAGAGCAACTAAACTGTGTGCCTTCTTCACATTCAATCGTGACCTGGCTAGTCTGGAAAACTGGCAGGTGAACTCTCTAGAGGTCCCTTTGATTAGATCCCAAGAGGGTCACACAGCTGGATACTTTAAGCTTAAACCCCAAGGACTAAAACCATTGAGAAATAAGGCAACCCCCTAATCCCCAGATCAAGGGTCCCAAAGAATACTATAACATCTGTGTAAGAACTTGAGGTGATACATGGAAGATTTTTTTTTTTTTAACTTTACAACTGTATCAGCAATGGTGGAAGGGCTGGGGGAAAGGCTGGTGGAACAGACAGTGAAGAAGCCTTCTAAAGTCGGAAGGACTGGGTGGGTACAGATCAGCCCCAGGAGTGTTCTGGAAGAGGCAGGTGGGGTGGGGTGGAGACTGCTATTCCTAAGCTAAATTCCTCTGCATCCTGCTCTTGTCACCTTTGGTGAATCAGAGGGGTTTAAGAATACTTTAAGACATCCTCATAGCTGATAATATCAAATCAGGGAGAAACAATTTCAACTGCCTCCTTACTCTGTTTTCTTTCTTGTTTTAATATCACCCGGGAAATTTTGTTTTATGTCTATTCATCTAGTTTGTAAATTAGTTGTGGGCTTATTTCTAAACGTTTCTATCTCTATGCCATCTCACCTTTCTGTATTTGTTGCCCTGACGATTTCTTTTTCTAATTAACTATAGTTTTGCCACTGCTACCTGCCTTTGAATTCCCGAATCACCATTTTAGAGCCAAGATTAATTAAGCTAATGGGCATTTGTTTCTGTAAATAGCCTTCAGAGAAAGCACCAGAGTTCCATGAGGAAATATGTGACATCACTGGGAGATCTCTGCAGTCACTGTGGCCCAACCCAGACAATATGGAAGCAGCCCCTGGTTCATGGATAAGGCAAACATTAAAAAGAAGATGACAAACAGCCTATTGCCAGGTGGGTTCCTAATAACCTCCTCGGGGACCATCCTGTTCCATCTTCCTGAGCACCAGTTCCTTTGCTCTCTTCTCTGTTCATTTATTCATTCAACAGCCCCCACCTAGAGCATGGTGCTGAGAACTGGAGACTTTTAGTAAGACATAATTCCTCCTTCAGTGACAACCAGACAGCGGGGGAAGAAGAACACGTGAACAATTACCAGCAATACATGTGCCAAGAAGTATGAGAGAGGCCCAAATCAGGCACAGTAGGACAAAACAAAAGGAATTTCCCTCACTTCCTGTATGCCAGATTTTAAGAGTCTAAATAACTCAGAGGGCTGAGAGAAGTTTCTGTGCTAAAGGGAGCTTGGAGCTCACAGGTCTCTTTGGAGACTGATAAACAATTAGGTCATGGTGTGACTTAATACAATACCCAAATCATCACTCCCAATATTTTTCCACAGGAAAACGTATGTAAGTTACAAATAGATTACCTTAGAAATGAACTTCAAGAGCACGATCCACTTGTAAGTGGCATTCCTTTTTAAGGGAACGTGTCTTTTCCAGTGTAACTGTGAGACTCTGAGGTGTAGTTTCAAAGCTATATAGGTATTGGCCAGTATTCTGCTTGAGAAAACTCACTCTCAAGTCTTGAAAACAAAGAAATTTCCCAGTATTTTCCTTTTATTGTCTGCTAATCTGGCTTTTGACAGGCCACCCACACATACAAAAACAGCCCATCACAATTAAGGTTTCTATCTTCACTGCGGTGCTCATCCCCTTTCCCTTTTTTGTCATGAAATCAATAAGATAAAACCGCAAAGCCTGAACTAAAGAAGAGTTCTTGCTTTCATCAGTTTTGTGTTAGTAGGCAAGTTACTTCATTCTTTCCATGCCTCATCTTACTCAGCTGTGAAAGAGAGATACTAGTGGTCTTAATTTTGAGGATTTAATAAACATGCAAAGCTCTTAAATAAAGAAATGTATGGTAAATAAAGACTATTCAAGAAAGGTAGTGCTATCATCACAATAATCATCACTATCACCACCCCCTACCACGACCATCACCACCACCATCATCCTCAGTTGGTGACAAGTAAACAATGTAATCATCACATTTCATTGCTCTGGCAATTTAAGTTGGCCTCTTTGTCTCTGGCAGCGAGAGTCAGATATGAGTGCCTGTCCCCATCTGTCAGTCAGTCCCCTACAAGCTGGCCAGCAACCTCACCTTGGTCATCTCATTGTGCATGCCCTGCACGGCTATGTGAAGGGCTGCCATCATGTGACTGTTTCGGAGGTTTGGGTTTGCTCCTTGGCTGAGAAGAAACTTCACGCTTTCAACCTGGTTGTTCTCTGCAGCCCAGTGCAGAGGAGTATTGCCATAATCGTCCATTGCATTCAGCACTAGAAGAAAAGAGGGTCTGATTAAATTTTGCTTGAATTGTATCAAACATTCCGAGTGCCTATCCACTTCAACACTAAGTGCCAAGTGCAAGTATAATTAGCTTCATCTTCTTTCTGAGAAACAAAAATACAGTCTCAGTGCTCAAGAAATATCTAATGGGCACCTTTATAGAACATAGGAAAGTATGATGTTGATTTTGTGAGTTGAGATAAATTTCTGTCTATAGCTCTCATAAGAAATAGATCCTCCTCTGCTACCTGTTTTTAATCTGTATATGACTCTTGGGATTGTGATAAAATATTGAGATTACATAAAAGCAGAAACTATATGACAGAAAATCTACTAGGTTCCACACGACTGTAATTTCATCCAAACATACAGTAGCCCACAGTTACTACTATTAAGACTAATTTACAAAAAGATGCTGAGGCCTGGAGAGGCTAAAAGTCCTGCTACCATCATACGACCATGAGGGACATTATTTCAAGCCTCAGCTTTCTTATAGTCAAATTTGGCTTAAAAATGCATACACACACGTATTTATACACATCTTGTAATGTCGTTGGCAGAATAACATTAAGTCATTCCCTTAAAAATCTTTTAGCAGTACAATGTATACACATGTAAGTAAATGTAAAAATGATAAAATAAAAAGAAAATCTTAGCAGTAATTGGCCTACATCAAGGGTTCCAAAAACGTTAATGAGAAAGACACACCAAAGGTAAACACCAAGCCTAGAATCTGAGAGGAGCCCCGACTGCACATAGCTTCCACATACTTCTGTAACACAATAGATGGCACTATTTTCCCTGTCAGGTCAGCATAATATGCCCTATTGCTATTCTAAAATAGGCATGGCTGTCTTTCTACAAATTATTTTCATCAGTGGCAGTAAATCTTTATGTCTGGGGAGAGAGAAAAGTATTCCCTCATAAATCTACAATACTGGAAACAATGATGCAGCCAAGTTTCCTGTTTCTCTCCTTTTCTAAGTGTCTCCACTCTCTACTTTCATTCACCCGAGTTCCTCATTCTCAACATCAGACACACACACACACATACACAGACTTTGGGAGTCACACACATCCTCATATACATCTCTTATTCATTCTGTCTGAGCACGACCAATCACCTACTTGGCACTGAACCTAATTAAACAAGGATCTATAATTAAAAACTCCCACTTACTGACCAAATAACTTGAATATGACTCTTATCTTTACCACTTCTATCAGAACTCAATTTTACAAAGGTCATTAGTGCCTTCCAATTTAAGGGGTTTCATATGATCACTTCATCCTCAATCCCTTTGTAGCATATCTTTGTAACTAGTCAATTTCCTTGATGTATGTATCATCACTCTCTTTTGCACCCACTCTTCCTCTACCTTCTGTCTTTTATTTTTGGTCGTCCAGACTTTTCAACCTCTGTTAGCAATCTGTCGTCTTCTACAGGATGTCCATTCATTTCCCCAGTCTCACCTACTTTCTAAGGAGCACTGATCCTGGAAGGGAAGGGGCTCTCCTTTCTTTCTATAGTTCTGGTTGTCTACTGGGTATTTCCAAGGGACTACCTTCTGGGCCAACAAAACTCAATGTGACCAAATCTTCTCACACACTGATACTTACTTTGCTTCCTTTCTGGGATGGCTGATTATACTATAACCTAATTTCCTAAATTAGGAAATATACAGTCTCAACTCCCTGACACTCTTCACCTTCAGTCTGTTGTCAAGCAGATACACACATGATCTGAATCTCTCTCCTTCTTCTCATTTCAACCTCACATCTCTCATATTTTCGTTATGCTAAAATAGATTTTGGAAGTTATTTTTTGAGACAGGATTTCACTACACAACACAAGCTGTCCCAGAACTTGCTACATAGCACAGGCTGGCCTCAAACTCATAATCCTCTTGCCTCTGCATCCCATGCACTGGAATTATAAGCATGCATTGCCGCACTTTGCTTAAAATAGATTTCATTTTATTTTTTTTCCAAGCTCTTTAAAATTATTAACTTATTCACATGTGCATACATTGTTTGGGTCACTTCTCCCTCCTGCCCCCTTGCTTCCAGGCAGAACCTATTCTGTGCTTTTCTCCAGTTCCATTGAAGAGTAGAAATAAGCAATAATAAGAAAGACATAGCATTTTTGCTAGTTGAGATAAGGACAGATATACAGAGAGATTCCTAGCATTGCTTCCATGTACAAATGTGTTACAACCCAGATTGATCCATCTTTAACTGATCTTTACACTGGTTCCTGATCCCCTTCTCGTATGGACCTCTGTTGCTTTAAGGTTTCTGTATTATAAAATAGATTTTAAACTGGATTTCCACTTCTAATACATCTTCCACAATATTGATGGAATTATATATTAAAGGTCTTATCATATAACTTCAATGTTTAAATCTCTATAGCATCCACCTCCATCATTGTCTACAGCTGAATTTCTCAGACAAAGTTAGGTGTCCAAGGTTGGGAAATAGAGGATGTTAAATCTTCCTGAAGCAAAATCTGAAGAGGATGTGATTTCCATAGGAAAATTCACAAACCAAGTGAGATAGTCAGGCCCTTTACCCTCTGACACAAAGCCACCCCTCAAAATCACTTCTTACCATTCTCCCAATAAATTTAGTGGGGTGATAGATATATGGAACACTGCTATAACATTCTGTTACCTTCACAAGATGACCCACTGATGATCATCCTCATCAACTCAACTTGACCTTCTGCTGCTGCGTGATGCAAAGGAGAGACGCTTGTATCCTCATATTTGCCTACTTTTTTAAGGTTCTTGATAAAGTTTTGCAATCTATATGTATTTCCTTCAAAATCCACCTATAAGTATGTAAAAAAAAACTTGTTATCTCAAATAGCAGACACAAACTTATGAATATGAAGTTAATAATTTTATAGTATTAAAAAGTTTAATAGTATCAAAACTACCATGCTTATAATAAGGTAAATATTTTTCTGAAGGACACAAAGTGTTCCAGACATAAAAAAGATACAAGCAAATACCTCAACATTGATTAGTATGTTATATAAATGTTTTGGTTTCCTGACTGTACACTTGTATAAGCTGCAGAAATAAAGGCCTTGAGAAAAGTTTTACCATAACAAATATGGTAAAAACATGGAGAATGAGTTTGCTTTGCTAGGCAAAATGGACTTAAACTAAAACATGAGGGAGTTAAGTTAGATAAAGTTGTTATGAATGCAAGTCCTAGGATCTAAATTACTGTCCTGTCTTTGGCCTTCCTGACTGCAGACAGTTTCCACCCAACATTTCCTTATATATGGAGCTAGAAACAGTCTGATGCATTGTCCCATAATTCACTTGGTCAGAACCTAGAATGGCTGTCCACTGCCCCAAACTAAATAATCTTCTCTTAATGTTGATATTAAATTAAATGACAATCAATTTCCTTATTCAACTCTGAAAGTTCTTAACATTTGTCTTACATAGAAAATTTAAAATTTGCAGAAGTATTTAATTATACTTTAATTGATGACTTTTGTTCAACCTTGCTTCTAGAGTTTTTGTCTATATTTGAAAGTAAGTATGTATCATCAGTGAATCCGAATGGCATATCTGATTCTATTGTTGACATTTCTACATTGTTTAGACATATCACTGATCACATGCTAGGTCAGAGAGGCCAGAAATGGCACTAAATTAGGTATTCTGATAATTGGGTGACAGAGGAAAAGTCAAATCCAAAGTCAAATTGTAGATTTGGGGCCCAAACTGAGACTGAAACCAATGCTGACACATTTCCTGGCTGCACACGGAGGCCCCCTCTGGAAGTCGGGCTTTTCCAGCCCCATGCCATTCTGCTGTGTTCCTATTCTGCTTGAACTCTGCTAGGTTCTTCACCTGAATGAAGGGCACCTTCTCCTCTCCTGTTCCCAGCCCTCCAAATCCCACCTCCAGGATGCCTTGGTAAAAGCTCTAGCACACCATCATTCAGTTCAGCCTCTCTCACTCTCTGGAGTCCACTGTGAAGTATTCTAGACGCCACAAGATGTATGGTGACTCAACACTGAGGGTTACCGGAATGTGTTCTTTGCTGTCTCATGTTCTTAGGTTTGTATTCACTTTAATTTCTAATATGATAAGTACTGATAACTATGCCTCACACAAACTAGTACTCTTCAGAATCTTCCATATTGTTTAAGTTTAAAGGGGTTTTGAGATTTTAAAAAGTTTGAGAAATTAGTTCATTCCTAATCTCTCATTTTATGCACTATATCCAATGTTTACCACGTATTTGTACACTTACTTTTTCATGATACTTGAATATGTGTAAATATTTTTCTAGAGAGAGACGAAAGGAAGGGAAGAAGGAAAGAAGTTAAAAAAAAAACACGGCTTGTACAGAAAGCAGGGGAAGCCACATGGACTTTATACACACCAGAAATCCCCTAGAATACTTGGTGAGTTTTAATTTCCCAGAAGCTTAAAAACATCAATGTAAGAAACAGGATGAGTGAATGGACCCTCACTGTAGTTCTATGATAACACACAGATTAAAATTATTTCTTAGCATACCTTCCACATTTGCAAATCTAAGACCAAATAAGCCATTTTCCTAATATTTTTCAAAGCAATTTCTTAATAAATACTTTATTTATAGACCAAAAGCAAAATGTTCTATAAGTCAGTAGTTTTTTGATAGAATCCACTGTAAAATGACTATTTTCATGAAAATGCAGAAATTTCTTGCTAACAAAAGACCCAGATACTGGCTTTAATTTTAATGACCTTTGACTATAACTGATCACATTTGCCACATGGTAATATATGTGGCAAAACTCTAATTTGGCTGGGTGCCAGTGGCTCATGCCTATCATCATGGCTACTTGGGAGGCTAAGACCAGGAGGATCTCAGTTCACAGCCAGGCTAGGCAAAAAGTTCATAAGACTCCATCTCAACCAATAGCTGGGTGTAGGGGCACATGCCTACTATAGCAGCTAAGTGGGAGGCTAAGATCAGGAATATCAAGGTTCCAGGCCAGCCTGGGCAAAAAAAAAAAAGGTTTGTAAGACCCTATCTTTACAGGAGAAAGCTGTATGTGGTGTCACGTACCTGTCACCCCAGCTACTGCAGGAAATATAAAATAGGAGGATAGAGGTCCAGGCCAGCTGGGCAAAAGTGAGACCATATTCCTAATAACCAGAGGAAAAAGGGCTGAGGCATGGCTCCAGTGGTAGAGCACTTGCCTAGCAAGTGTGCAGCCTGAGTTCAAACCCCAGTACTGCCAAAAAACCCCCTCTAATTTGTTATTTTAGAGATAACAGGAACATTTCTCACTGCTGAAAAATAAAAGCTATCAAACAAAGTAAAATGTTAAAATGCTTTATGTACTTTAATACAGTTAGTAAAAAATTTGATATATTGGGATTAAATTTGGTAAATGCCAGGTTGAAATAAATATTTAATGTCAAAATTTTGAACTTTGACTGTTGCTGCTGTTACCACAGAATAGAATCTAAGAAATCACTCTTCTATGATGTATCACTTTTCAACTAAAAAAATGAATTCAGTATAAGTTATAGTTACCTTTAGTAAGTATGGGATATGACAGTGGGGATTCAGCAAAGAATCTAAAATGAGCTTCTTACTGAAATAGGTTCCTTCCTTAATGTCTTGCTTCACCAACAAAACTGACCTGAATTATTTTGGAAGCATTTTAGCATTTGAATTTGGTACAACCTTTGGATGATAGTGAAGATACTCTATTGCCTACCCTCAGAGTCTGAGAAAGCAATTTGCAGGTCTGTTCAACTGTGTGCTGTCAACAAAACCCAATTCCATACACTTTGCTGGCAGAGTGGCTCAAGTGATAGAGCGCCTGCCTAGCAAGCATGAGGCCCTGAGTTCAAACCCTGGTACCACCAGAAAAAAAACACACACTTTAGAGGAAGACTAGATTCTACAGTTATTACACCAGAACTCACAGTCATAAAACAACATTTAAATATTTCACATGAGCCTATCAGGTGTGCTAGACAGGCTCAATGTAGAACGTGATGTATCATCAGGCCTTGAAGAGATTTCTTAAAATAAATTTTAAGCCTCAGCATATATGATAATTTAACTAAGTAATTATTGGATAAATTATTATACACTCTCTCAGTTTCCTATTATCACAAGGTTACCAGGCTCTTTGGGATTCTGAACTGTATGCATAAATTAAGTACATAATAGACTAGATGGCTTTTAGAGAGGCTAATTCTTTTAGGGCTGCAGGTGTGGCTCAAATGTTAGAGAGGCTAATTCTGAGTAAGCCCTTTAAATATGAGAGACAATGCCCATCTGTTTCAGTTTGCTTTAGTGAAATACATCAAAGCAGTAATGGGGCAAAAAAAGATGAAGAGTTAAATGCTGAAGTGTTGACTCTTGAAAGAGTTATTGAAAGAGGTAAATGACATCAGTCTCATAGTTCTTTTTCCACACTTCTCATTTTCTGAGTTTTCAGTGATTCTTCAGTTTTGCTGGCATTCCTGAGGTACTGCGTGAGTGTGTGTGTGAGTATGACTCTGTATGAGTGCATGTGTGTGTTGGAGAAAATGTGTTATACTCCATAGTTTCCAAATCAGAAAGCCACCAAGAAATGTGTAAAGTTCAAAACTCTCCACAGTGTTTATATGTGTCCACCTACTGGGATTTTCACAGAATGATCTGAATTACTGTGGGCAATAAAATAAGATATCTAAATGCCTCAATCTGTAAGCCCTAATGTAGTTTTTTTCCGGGAGTAGGGAGCTGGTTTGTTTTTTGTTTTTGTTTTGTTTATTTTGTTTGGAGACAGAATCTTCCTATGCAGTTCAGGCTGGCCTCAGACTCCCAATCTTCCTGCCTCAGCCCGTGAGTGCTGGGATTACAGGCATGAACACCATGCCTGATCCTAATGTAGCTTTTAATAACCTAAATGGATCCACTTAATTTACTCAATAAAAGCAGCAAAATCTCTCTTGAAAACCAAACTACATGAGTGATTTTTGAAATTTTAAATTTTCTTCCTGAACCATTTCAAAGGAACTGTCTTAGTGACTGATATCTATTCCAGACTCAGTTCTTTGGAGTAAATCCAACAACTTGGTTGTTAGCATGTTAATGTTAAGGAGGGGGAAATCTGGTGTTGAATCTGGATGTTCAGATCCAGTCAGAGGCCAGGTTTGCTGGCTTGTGTGACTTATCACCCATCTCTAGCTCACACAGGGGACTGGCAATGTTGTCAATCCATGCAACCTTTTTAGACAGCAATGTGCCAATTTTCTAGCAAAATTCATGCTGTCCATACTACCTGACGCTGCTGTGACTTTAACAGAGATATTCACAGAGGTACCAATAGATGGACTGAGAAGCCGCATCTGTATTCACAGACACACCCAAACAAGAGTATAATAGCAAAACAGACAAAAAAACAAAACAAAAAAAAAAACCCAAGGGTCTATCAGTGTAGATTTGGCTAAAACAATCAGGATACCTTCCTACAATGGAGTATTGAGAAGCTAAGAAGAACATGGTAAGATCTCCAAGAGTGATTTTAAAAGTATCCTAAAATATATTTCATAAGTAAACCAAAGTGAAAATCTCTGATTTTGTACTTTTGTAAATAAAAGAAAGATGTTTAGATATGTGCATATTTGTGTAAGCATTTTTTTTTTCTGGAAAATACATAAGGAAACTTGTTCCACTGTAGAAAGGAATTTGTGGAGGCTGAAAAACCACTGTTAATGATATTTTGACGTTTCAAAAGCGCATCCCCTACCCCTCTCCTGGTATCAATCTGAGGAAATCGAATGGGTTGCTGAGCATCCCCAGAGTCTTTTACCCCTCAGACCAGAGGGGTACCATCACGTGATAGCTAGTGCTGCCTTTAGTCTGGGGAGCTCTATAATAAACAGAAGCCCCCACTCCAGCCACCCACCATTTTGGAAAGGTTTCCTTTCTCCATAGTCTTGCGGAAGTCTCACGGCCAGTTTTGCCTGGGTTTCCTCAGGGTCCTTCTCTGGAACGCACCCTTTTCAGGTGCTGGGTTCTCATTTCACCATCAGACAGGAATGATTCTCAACCCCAATTATTCAACTCTGTAGCTAACTTACTACCAGACACAGGTTGTTTGATTCTAAATGAAAATCTACAAAAAGGTCTAAGGACTTAACTGTAGGCAGTAACCTGACTATACCAAATGCCAGACACTTTTAGATAAATCTCTCCCCAAGATTGCCCACCCACCAGCAAGGACAAGTTGGACAAACAAGCCAGCAAACAGAACAAGCAGGCGCTGTGGGGCGCGTTCTCAGCGTGGCCCCACAGGCTCGCTGATGGTCAGGAGCACTCATGGCGCGCGCACCCCAAGCAAGCATCTCCTCGCCTCTGCACGTCCTAGTTGGTAGCCAGGTGCTGCCTGCCAGGAAACCTCTGGCCGCCCCCAGGCCCGACTCAGGAGCCCGTCCTGCCCACCAATCGCCCGGGGTACCTTAAACGAGTCATCCATGCTGTCGCCCACGCCCTGGTAGTTAACGCCCTGGGGCTCCTTCTTCTCCGCTGGGCGCAGCATCTTCCTCAGGCTGCGCTTCATTGACCCCACCTGGACGGCACCTGGTGCAGCTGCTTCCCACGCGCGAGCACCTGGGGCGAGAGCGCTTGGTGAGCGGGCGTGGCCGCCTGGCCCCGCGCCCTCCCGCCTGGTGCTGGTCCCCGCTCTGCGCTGTGCGGAGGAGAACTTTGGCCAGGATGGCTCAGGCTGGGCTTCTTGTAGTGCCCAGAGCAGGCGGGGCGCAGGGAGAGGCAGAAACGCAGCCCTCGCTTGCGCACCGGCCCAGCGCTCGCCTCTCTGGAGCACAGCGCGACTGCTGGAGTCAGGGTGGATCCAGAGAGACTGTTAGAGTAAAAACACCAGGGCCCAACCGTGGGGCGTGGGAGAAGGGAAGGCATGGGGCGGAAAGATGGGGAGGGAGGCCGAATATAACTGGATACATTGGGAAAGTTTTTAGGATTTTTTTTTTTTTCCCCCGAAGTGAAACTCCTAGATCTGTCTTGCCCACGTCCACTTCCTTTTGGGGACCTCTTGGATTTGGAAATCAGGTTTTTAGCAAAACCTCTTCTTCGAGGCGTTTGGGAGAAGTTACATCCTAGAAAGTTTAGGACTAAATTAAGTCCCTTTGAATCTCAGGTCCTATGACCTGTGGATAGCAATATTAATCCACCTCATGCTTTAGTGTTTAAGAACGGTTAAAAATAAAAATGATAGGTTAAACATAAGCCACTATTGACTGGTGTAGCTTATTTGCTCTTGGCTTTGTTTGAGAGACTTATCTTCTTGGGCCCGTGTGTCATTGACTGGTCAACAACATAGGTGTAAATTGTGTACAATGGAAGGTGTTCCTGCTGAATTGAAGAGGCAAGTTCCATACTTAGATACAGACAAGCGAGTCTCTCAAATTGCTGCCACTCTGTTTAGGCCACATGGGTAGAAAGCAAGAAAATTGCTTTCCAAAGCAGAACTTTGCTTCCACTGTCTTTTGTTTTGACAAGCGATTCTCCCTTAAGGCTCCAGAGTGTTAGATTCACACCCAACTCTCCCCCTCCCACCCCCAAACCTAACCCAAGACCCATATGAAGCCAGGACCTGGATACAGCTGCTGCTCAATAAAGTTTCAAAAAATACTTAAACAGTATTACAACATATAGAAATATTGATAAAATTTTCTCACACCTCATTACCAAAAAATTGAAGGTTTGTGGATTGTCTGACCTCACCACCACATTGGGCTGAATTTAGGAGAAAGTAAAGCGTTCATGACAATATTGAGGAGGCACGGAAAAGTCTCCCAAAAGTCTCCCAAGTTGCCATCATTTTCAAACCTGGGGTGGAATTTGGATATTGATATTGAATTTATTGAACTTAGCACCAACCATCAGTCCAGATGTGTGGATTGCTGAAAGATTGATGAAGAATGCAGATGTTCAATTTCACAACCTGCTCAGGTTTTCCACCAGTATTTATGTTCACGAAGTACAGACCAGGGATCGGCAGTACACCTTGCTATGATTTAGCTGACATAGGTAATGCATCTGGAAAAACCAATAAAGGCGAGAATCAGAAGGATGAGTAGAGTAACTCATTGAGCCCCTGCTCTCTTCTGGCATGTTATGTACACTTGGTCCGCTTTGTTTTTAATGGAAATATCTCACAGGAATATTAAGACCTTTTGCTTGTTATTATGAATTACTGTGATCTATTGCTTTTCTCTCAATACTTAGCTGACAAGGATTACTAAGGACAAAAAGGAATGAAGTGGAATCTCATAGAGGTTGATATGGAAGCTGGGACAGAGAACATATCATGGTAGCAAACACCAGATGGCTGTGACAGGCCTGGGAGAGGGATGTGCTGAGAGCAGGGACACTGGAGGCCAACATCTCTCCTATGTACTTGGTGTCAGCTATCCACGCAAAATCTCTACAAAATGAAGCATTCTTACTTCTGCCCTCAGTTTACATGTTTATACCCTCAATACATCCATACATCCATACATACACGAATGCACAAAACATCTACCAAAGCATATATTCTTTCTAGCTTGCCTTCTGCTTCAACACTGAAAAATATAGATAATTGGTATTACAGATCTGCATTTGTGCCTGCTTATGAAAACAGAGAGATTGACATGTTAATTAATTTTTCCTTTTAGCTTTTGCTGGTCTTGTCCATTTTAAGCATTTTTCAGCAATGTCTTCCTAAGACCTCTTAGGAATTCCATTAACTGTTTTCCTATTAATTGTTACGTTATTTCCTATCTAGCAAAAGCATCTCTTGCATAAGCAGAACTTCCTTTACTGCAAATTACTGGATTTAAGATACGTACTGAAGACGGGAAGAAGTATTTAGCCATTCACAATTAGGAGCTCATTTCCTTTGACTCTTAATTATTGATGAATAGTAATAAAGTGCAATATGTAATGCCAGTTGTAATTTCAAAATGATCATAGTTATTAGGGAAAATAATCTTCACAGAAATTTCCAGAGGCAAATTTTATTATCAAATTATGTTTTGATATTAGGCCAGGGCCTTATTCAAAACAAGGAAAATAATAAAAATGATTTACTTAAATTCTCAGGGAAAATATAGCTATATGCATATATCAATTTGATAATTTTTAACCAGCACTTATCTTTATTTGGTTCCTTAAATTAAACAAAAAAAAAATCAAATTTACCTGTTAATATTTATATTTTAGGTCATAAATACAAAAATATTTTATTAGTACCTGTAACAAGACAAAACTATTTAACTTATGTGCCTTAACTCAATAATTTAACAAAAGAGGGCCCAATAAACTTACTGAGTAAAACAACATTTGTATTGCATCTTTTCTAGAACATAAACGTGACCCATGTTATGTGTACAGTTTGAAGGTTTTGGAAAATGTATACAATTACATAACTATCTCTATAGGCCAGCTTTAGAATACTTCCATCAATATAAAAAGTTCCCTTAGAACCAAAGGTAGTCAGTCCCCTGTCCCACCAGTAGCCCTAAACAGCCTTTGATCTGTCTCTCTAACACAGTTCTGTCTCTATCATTTAGCCTTTTCTAGAAATTTCAGATGCACAGAGTGGTTTCAGTCTTTTACATCTGGCATCTTTGCTTAATATAATGCACTTGAGTTCATCCATGCTTTTTTATTGCTTAGTAGTATTCTATAGTGTGGATATACCTTATTTTCTTAATCTATTTACCAGTTAGTTGATAGACATTTGGATTATTTCTAGTTTTGATCTATTATAAATAATGCTGCTATGAACATTTTTGTACAACATATATTTTCTTTTCTCTTGGTTCAATACCTAATAGTATAATTGCCTATATGCATGATAAGTAGGTGTTTAGTTTTGCATGAAACTACCAAATTGTTTTCCAAAATGGCTGTGCCATCCATGCCTCCTAGCACTCCACAAGGATTCCAGGTACTCCATAGCATCATCAAATTTAGTATTGCAATTTTTATTAGTCATTCCAGTGGTACACAGTGGTATCTCACTGTGGGCTTAATTAGCATTTCCCTAATGGCTACTGATATTGTCCATGTTAGCTTACAGTTATTAGCCTTTCATGTTTGCTTGATTAAATGCTTTTTCTTCTTTTTGAATTGTAATGTTTTCTTACAATTAGATGTAAGAGTTCTTTATGCTAGATGTGTCTTTTATCAGAGAATTCGAATATATTTTTTTCAGAATCTGTGCCTTTTTCATTTTCTTGATGATGTCTTCTGAAAATCAAAAATTTTAGATTTTGTTTAAAGTCTAATTTGTCAACTTTGTTGGTTGTGCTTTGGATGTCACATGTAGAAATTTTTGCCTATGCCAAGATGACAAAGATTCTCTTCAATGTTCTCTTCTAGAAGTTTGTAGTTTTAGTTCTTACATAGATTGATTTTGACTTAGCTTTTATGTGTGATGTGAAGTAAAGAGCTAAGTTCATTTTATTGCATATGTTTAGACAATTGTTGCCATTTGTTTCAAAAAATGCTATGCCCACCTAGAATTGCTCTGAAATCATTAGCAAAATAAGTAGATCATGAATATAAGAGCTTATTTCTAGACTCCCTATTCAACTCCATTGGCCAATGGGCCTACATTTAAGCCAATATCACACAGTCGTGATTTTGTAGATTCATAGTAAATATTGAAATCAAATGGTATAAGTCCTCCAAATTTTTCTTCATTTCCATATTGCTTTGACTTTTCTAGGTTCTTTGCACTTCTATGTAAATTTTAGAAACAGCCTGTCAAGTCTATGAAAAAGACTGCTAGAATTTTCATAGTAATTGCATTGAGTCTATACCTCAATTTAATGATAAAAGCCATTTCAAAATATTGAGTCTTCTGATCTATAAGCATGGAATTTTCCCCATTTATACGTATGTATATATATATACATATATATATAATACATATATATACATATATATATGAATTATTCATGGAAAACTAAAAACCACTGCCGACAGAATTTTATTATATATATATATAATTTATATAAATAAATAATTATATAATATATATAATTTATATATAAATTATATATATTTATATATATATATAA